ATTTTATATTTTGTTTGTATCCATAGAGTAGGTACCTACTTAAACTAAAGTCGATGTTATTGATATTTGTAAAATGACCTGCCATACATGTACATAACATAACATGGTTAAATAAATCTATCTATCTATCTATCTATCTATCTATCTATCTATAGCTGAAGGACTGGGCAAGCGAACAGTGTGATCCGAATTCAAATTGTTCAAAGCAGAAAAAAGCAAAATTTTGCGGCGGAATTAGTGTTGCGTAGTTTATAAAGAAACGTTGAATGTGAAGATCACAAGTTAGCAACACGCACTAGTGCATTTATCTTGCGCGAAGAATTAGGCAATTTTTCACTGTCGTCAAGACGAATGATTATAGTTGTTATCAATTGTTTTTTTGCTCAAATTTATTTTGTTTCATTCTTTATTGAACGTCGTTCGATTCCCAGCAACAGCAAGGAACTTTTTTCAATATTTTATTTACGAATTAAATATTGTAAAGTTTCGGAGCAACGGCTGGGGATAGTCTTGCACGATTCGCTGTTGCGTTCCAATTAACAGTGCTGCTCCTAAAGTGGCGAATGGAGTTAGTAACAAAGCCTACACAGAACACGGAGAATGATATGTGAGCATCAGAGAAGAAGTAGGACGGTGTATGTAGGTGGGTGTGGAAAAACCACCAGCTGAGCGTGAGAGCGGGCCAGCTGCTTAAGTAGACCTCGGTCTCGGGGGTTTACGATGATAGTTAGCAGGCCTGCCACTGCGCATATGGTAGTGAGTACATTACTAGCCTACAAAACACAGCCGAAAAACTCTGAAAGAGAGCTGATGGGCGGTGCCTGAAAAGGATGTTAGCCAGCTCTCTTGAGCGAACCACATCAGCCATTGAAAACACTTGGGGTTTGCAAAAAGGTCCCATTAGGGACTAGTTGCTGACGTGGAAACGTCCCCCACCAGTACCAGGACCAGTTATTGAACGTCGAGTCTGAACACACTGAGGGTTTTGGTATTGTGTACAATGAATTCAAATGTGATTATTGTAGATTAAGAAATTCTTCAAGACACAGTTGAAATGGCCAATGAGCAATGGAAAGGTTTCAAATTTGATTCCTACCCCTCCAATAACATATTTCTCATTTTTCGAAGTGACTTATTTAAAAAAAAAACAATACTGTCGAGGCATTCGCTATTTCGATGATGTTTTTTCGGCCATGAGTAACGCTCTTGGCCGGAAATTTTCATTCTTCGGAAGTCTTAAAGCCAAAGTGGAAACGGTGTCGCTAGACGCCAGTCGTCTTGGCATAGTTGGCAATGTAGTGTTTTGCTATGGAAGCACGTTCTGTGATTCATGGAAATATGAACCAAAGTGGTCAACATTGATAAGGTTGTGGTGCAAAATATAGCCTTAATTCAAAGTGGAATAACTCACGAACTACCAAACCAATTTAGAATGGGTCTTCGCCGATGATTAGCCTAATCACTAAACAGTTTGTCGTGGCAATATGAAACTTCAGTGTTTTCAGATAGAATTCCAACAGGGTGATAATTGAATGAGTGTAAAATTGCAATGTGGTCATAACCTAACCTAACCTAACCTAACCTAACCTAACCTAACCTAACCTAACCTAACCTAACCTAACCTAACCTAACCTAACCTAACCTAACCTAACCTTATTGTTCGAGCAGATAGTTTTTAATTTTTTTCTGACCTGTATCCTTATGAGTGATGTTCCCTTTCGGAACTATTTCGGAATTTTCAGTTTTAGAGCTTTGATAATCGTGTTATGAATATTAATTCAAAATGCTGCATTTTCTCAACGATCGATTGAATAAAATAACGGATATGTGTTGGTGTTCGAACCCTATGATGAAACATGATATTCTCTGTTTCTTCAGGAAATAATGGAGTGTTACATCGTCATTTCTCTGATCGAAGTGTATAATGAAGGTTCATCACATATGATGCATTTACATTATGATAGAATGGAAATTGTTTCAAAAATAGGGATTGTATTTCCATAATTATGAAATTTATTTTTATTCCTGATGATGGATATAGAAGGTGCAATAAAAATAGGTTCAGATTCAAGAATATTTTAGAAGATGAAGTAAATGGCTATCTTCCGAATGAGAAATACAATGTCGGCCATTGTCGAAAATTATGAAATGTATAAATAAAGAAACTCCTCATGGGGCTTATACAGGGTATAACAGAGAATTCATCAGGATTGCCATAGATTCGACAACATGTTTTTCATAATAATAAAGAGCATCCAGAAGCAAATTTCTTTCATTTGCAATTGAATTTGAGAAGTCATGGAAACCATCCATCCTTCTCAAAGTGGTCCAGATTTTTCAAAGAAAAACACAAACGCTAAGTCGGTCGACCACAAAGTTAAATTACAAAAAGATTTTTGTGACTAGTTTCGGCTCAAGCAGCCATCTTCAGACACAGTATATAGTACCTGTAAAGATATTGATTTACAAGAAAAAATGTCATATTGAGGAAAAACATACCTATAAAGTACACGTGGAATCACATAATTGATTGATTGAAAATTGAAATTGCAAGGGTCATTGGCCGAAATTCAGTCAGGTGAAAATATTTGTATTATTTTGAACCGACTGAACAGCCAAAAGAACCTAATAAGGATTAGATTCAACATTGGCAGAAAAATTGGAAAACTAGCAGTTAAATTCACTCACATGAGTTTCATCTTAAAATTGCCGTTTTTTGAAAAACAAAAGCCAAGGAGATGGCAACGAAATGTCAAGCAAAGCAAAAGACGTTGACAGAATTACACGACAAATGAAATTCAAATGACATGCACAATATAAGATACAATTTTTTGAGTTATGATAATGTTGCAGTAAAATTCTGAAAATGAATTAATTACAAGGATAATTATGTCTAAAAACCTATGCCAATGTTGAATCTAATCCTTATTAGGTTCTTTTGGCTGTTCAGTCGGTTCAAAATAATACAAATATTTTCACCTGACTGAATTTTGGCCAATGACCCTTGCAATTTCAATTTTCAATTAATCAATTATGTGATTCCACGTGTACTTTATAGGTATGTTTTTCCTCAATATGACATTTTTTCTTGTAAATCAATATCTTTACAGGTAATATATACTGTGTCTGAAGATGGCTGCTTGAGCCGAAACTAGTCACAAAAATCTTTTTGTAATTAAACTTTGTGGTCGACCGACTTAGCGTTTGTGTTTTTCTTTGAATTTGAGAAGTCAATGAGAACTGAGTTGTATACTCGTGAATACTTGTTACCATTGTTGCATCTTACTGATCTAGTACCCAGAATATGATGATGGTCTTCAGAAGGAAAAATTCCTCCATTCTGTATGAAGTTGAAATGAGTGGATAATTCTCGAATTTTCATTCCTCGGAATTATTTTTTTCTACCCACATAACTAAAATGGCATTAAGCGTACGGATATGTACAACGCTGAAGGATCGATTAATCACGGTTTGACGATCAGTAATTTTTTCAAAATATTAAACAAGTTACCATGGCAACACGATTTCTTAAACACATTACCATGGCAACACAGTTCATTAAACACAGCTTCAGTAATTTGAGACCTGTCTGGCCTGTCAATTGTATTAATTGTCAACTGTTTTTTACAAATTTTGTATCAGAATTATTCGAACAATATTCGTTTGTTCATAATTCTTCATTAAAAATATATGCGAAAAGTAGACGAAAGTGAAATCGAAGAGAATGTTCTGGTAGTTGCATACCTCCAAGAAGTGTAAAAATGAAGCATCCATCTTTGAGAACAATTTATTTATTCTGCTCTAAGCATGCCAATGAACGTGAAACAAAGGTTAGTAAGCAATGAACTGGACAAATCTACAACCAATATCACTTATACGTGTCTCGCTGGTTGCATGCAGTTGCATGTATTATGTTCTCAATTCCCATTCCTTTCGAATTATTTTGTAGGTTAGCAGGAATAGCAGGTATGTTAATGCTCTGCTCCGCTCGTGCTTAAAATACTCGTTACTAAAAGGACGTTTATAACACTTGTTACAACTAGTAAAAAATATGTAAAAATCGTCCTTAAATACGATATCTATCTAGCAAATCTAATCTAACCCTAGAAGTTTCTCGCTATATCATATTGAGTTCGACTTCTTTATATATAGGACAAATATAGGGGGGAATTTTCAGAACTAAAAAAAATGGAGCTTTTCAACAAAAAAACGGCGCCCATTTCACATGAGTGAACTAAAAGTGATTTTCAATCAGGTATAACTATAAGTAATTCATCCTTCATTTTGATATCTCTGAATTCATCATATATAACGAACAAATTTTCGATTACTGAACTGATGCAATTTACTTCTCAGGTCTAATTACTGAGGAAAGTAACTGAGCTAAATAGATACGAAAAGCTCAGTAATTTCCACACAATGTCCATAAAATGAAGAACAATGGTAGATTTCGGGAGAAAAACAACTACTTTCCTGGTTAATGCCACGCAGAACGTGGAATTACATCAACCCGAAATCTATGCATCGACTCGTATAAACGAATACTGATACAAGTGATTTTTTCCTGAATGCCTATTGATTTCGATTAAGCCAGGCCACGCTAGACACCTACAGACTGGTTTCGAGCTCTTTGACTCTCATCAGTGCAGGGCAGTCTCCAGCCAGCAGTCCTAAGACCACCGACTTAGCGTAGCCTAGCCAAACAAACATCAAGTCGGCATTTTATTCCCCCAGAGGCGTCCTATATAGACAAAATGAAAGCAACGCCATCTGAGAAGAAACGAAGGAAAGAATCACTCCAAAACTGAAATTTCCATACGGGAGTGGCTGGTTGCCCGACTGGCGTAATTTCAACTACGTAGTTGTTTTAACTCCAAGTTGTCGAAATATATGTATTTGAGCAGTTTTGAATATAATCGTTTATATGTATTTGATCAGTTTATACCTACTATATCATTATGAACTATGCACAGCTATGAAAGCAAGTAACATTCAGTCAATTCATATCAAAAATATACTTTATTTTGCAAGAATATACATACTATCAATAAAGTGTCAGGAATCCTATTAGTAGAATCTTGTATGACTATGACATTATTCAAGAAAAGTACATAACATATATGAGAAAAACTTGAAATACATAATAACAATCAAAGGGGCGAAACTGTGAAACTTACACTACAAGCATTCAAATCCACATGTTGAGTTTCACACTGGTCCATCGGATATTATCTTTCGAGAAGAGCGACATATTCTCGGAAAAACTGACGCTCTGCCACTAACTTAGATCAGTTCGAATCGCGGTAGGTTTGGATATTCACATTTGCTTTTCGATTGAACTCGTTATCACATGATGGAAGTATGTCCGGAATAACAGCAGCAAATAAATCGCTGTGCTGCTACCATTTAATTGGTATCAGATAGCATAGTTCTCATCTCGATTTCAAATCACAATATCAAGTGCAAATTACCGCATAGAAAAGTGCCATTTTTAAATCATTTTGCTCAGGGTAATGATTGGCAAAGTAGCCGTTTCGTTATCAGTTGAGTGTCGCAATTGCAGCCGGCCGAGCAACCCTTTCGAAAATTGTAAATAGCATGGGGTGGTGAGTGATAGCTTATTTGAAAGGGAATTTCATTCTCTATCCAACCATGCAAAGGAATTGGAATTTCTTCCATTATTTCTTGAATCATTTTTGCCTTAACGAAACGAGTTAGGTAAGGGATGAAATTACTATTCAGACAAAAATGCACATCGTTAAACTTAAGAATCGACGCCATGTTGTGATTTTCATAACAAGAGTCTACAAGAAATAACTTTCAATTTCACCAAAATGGTTCAAATGATAAACTACGAGTTCTGAGAGTTTCTCTAAATTATTCAGATCCGCTCTAAGAAAGGAGGTAAAAGTTTAGTTTCATTCTCGAGTAGTTTCGCGGAGAAAGTTGATATCATCTCAGAATATTCATTCGTTTTTTGAGGAAATATCACCTGAATTCTGGTGGAATCCTATTACATTTCAGAAAAATTCATTTGCAATTCCGATCAGTCTGTTTTGATTCAGCAAAACTAGACTTTTGGAATACAATTGATCTTACTGAAAATTCAAAGTGGCTTCCACAAATCCTAGTGATCAATCAGGATATAGATGACGTTTTCATAAATCAAACTGGGACCAGAATACAATGACGAGTGGTCTTCTTAAAAAACAAATATTAAATTTCAATAACATTCGGTAATACTGATTCATGTTTGAAGGGACACTCTGTATAGTTCAGAATGTGAAATAGTATCTACTGTGGTTGTTCGTCTTTGTGCTAAATCACTCTGTATCTCTTCCAACGTCTTTCCTTTAGTCTCTATCAATACAAACTTAACGAAAATCATAGCTGCGACACAGAAGGCAGCGTAAAACCAGAACGATTGTCCTAAACCAACACTATCAACCAAATCTGTAGTAAAAAAAGAGTCTACGAACACAAAACACCACATCAGAGCAATCACAATTGCACTAGAAAATGCTCTGACTCTTGTTGGGAAAATTTCTGCCAATAAAAGAAAAGGGTATGGTCCCAAGCCGTTGTTGTAGAAAAATACCACCAGCGCTAGAGTCATTAGGGGTACGAATTTGATAGCTTCCACATCCACCTGGTTGTCCTGTAAATAACAATATACCCCTAACAATACTTGGAATATAGCCATACCGAAAGCAGAGGCAATCAGAATGGTTTTCCTATCGAATTTTTCCGCTAGAAAAACCATTGGTAATGTCGTAATGAAAGAAACTGAAGCTAGAATCACAGAGGAGATTTCTGGTTCCAGATTAGACCCAGTCATTTCGAAAATTATCTGGGTGTAAATGGATAGACGATTCATCCCGCAGAACTGTTGGAAGAAAATTAGTCCAACACTGATTATGAAACCATTGGCCACTGTCTTCGACATCATATTGTACCAAAGACTTCCTTCTTTTTCTTCCTCTATTCTAGCGTTAATTTCCCTCAGCTCCTGCTCAATGTCGGCTTTGTTCCTCAATCGTTCCAAGGTTGACCTAGCCTTTTCACCATTGTTCTTCAAGGCGTAGAAGTAGGCAGTTTCTTCTCCAAAAATATAGTAAACCACTATGAAGACAACGCAAACACCAGCTAGTATAGTGTTGAGAGTAGTTACTGGTATCCACGGTCCTACAGCATAAGGAAAAAGGAATCCTAGGCTGTAAACAACGCAACTGATTGCATTGTAGATAGACCTGGTACTTTTGCTAGGTATTTCTCCACCACACAACGTGGCAACAGTTATACTTCCACCCAAGGGTATCCCTGCTAGAAACCTTCCCAGGTAGTACGACTTCAAAGAGTTCACGTATGCCATGAGAACGAACGAAAATAAAACTGGTACTCCCAAGAACAGGTAGGTGTATTTTCTTCCTAGTTCGTCCGCTAGAAAACCATAGAGAAATGATCCTATGACAGCTCCTAAGAAGATTATGGAAGTTATCCAAACGACGTCGTCGTCTGATACTGGGTAACCAAAGGGGCTTTCTACAGGGTCTTGCAGTTTCGGGATTACTGGAGACGACCAGGTTAAGGTACAACCGTTGATGAAGAACATGATGGTACCTGGAACATAAAAATACTTCGGAATGGTCGTGATATAAGAATTGTTATGAAGAAAACTCAAATGATACTCGTTAACCTATATTCATCATAAGGGAAGTGGAAAATTATTCAATGGATTGAAAATAGTAGAAAATCAACAGCAATACTGTAGTGCCCAATTTTTTTCAAAACGAAATGATGTATGTTTTCCTAGAAAATTATATTAAGCCAACAAGAAGTCAGTCCTGAAACCTCGATCTGGAGATTGGCAAAAGGAAGAGAATTTCAGGATAATTAACGAAAGCATTGATGTTTCGACAGAAAATATAATAATGGCTGATGAACTAGTATGTTAGCATGTGTGAACGATAAATTATTCGCTACATCCTTGAATATTGGTAATTATACTGGGTGGTGAAGACCCTTCAAATGCTCATTCTTTGTACATAATAAATTTTTTTTATATTTAATGATAGCATTTTAACTTCGAAGTTGAGATATACAAATTTTAAAACAGAAAAATCAAAGCTAGTTATCTTACGAGTACGAAAAAATTCGAATCGAATATTTGTTCGTATTTTACACTATTTTTTCTACTAGCATGCGGAAAAAACCATGAGCATTATATGAATTTCCTTTCATGCGCTTCAAAAGATGAAAAAATTTAATATTTATAATATTGATACTAACAAATTTACATTTATGCACTAGAATGAGTGCGGGAAAGTAACTCTTTCAAAGCGATAAAAAAAAGACCTACCACAGTACTGAAGTATGACTAATAAATTGCATTCCGCGAGGGACCCATTTTCCAAGGGCTATGCCCCAAGGCTACAATAAAAACATTTTCGTATAGAAAAATACGAAGACAGAAAGATCTTTAATACCTCTATACTATTTTTCGCACCTTTGGGAAATTTATTTACTTCAAATCTCTGTAGAGCATGAATTGTTTCAAGAAATATCAATGGTTGTACAAACTGGTCGAATTAACGCCACAGATCTTATTTTGTATTGACCGTCCAAATAGTATTTGATAGTTATCCATTTTATTAAACCACCACAATTTTGTTTTTCAATAATCAAAATAAACACCTCCCGAAAAGGCAAGTTCTCGATGACGTCACATACCTATAAGATCGTTCCACATGGAAATATACAAATTCACTCGCACAGTAGAAGTACTCAGTTACACACAATACATAAGTCGTATGAACGAATACTACAATGAGTAGAAATCAACAATTAGGCAGAGAATCCATTGATGGTACCAAAACTGCGACGCAAACAGAATTTGTTCATAAAACTAAGTATATGAAATAAATGAATTCTAGAATTATTATTTGATTTGAATTTTTTCTCGCTCATGAATATTTCCGGAAATAATCCACCTCTAGTGGCATTACAAGTGACAATTATTGTGGCTATAGGTGCCTATGGTTATAGGGTGATTTCTGAGAAAATTAGGACGTTGTTACAGCATTATGTCAAAATTCAATTGGCTGAAATTGACCGATATGAATATACTTTACTAAAATTAGCTAATTTGTCATTATTGTTTTCACTAAATTTGGCAACAATCAGTTTCAATCGGGTCAGTTTCATCCGTGTTCCAAGGAACCAGAAGGACAAAGCTTGAAATTCCGGAAGTTCAGAAAAAAAACATTTGTCATAAATTGAAAACGAATGCACAAAGCATTTCCATGAAATCACCGACCAAAATCTGATTACTATATGATGAAGGTAAAATACTTTAAGGAAATTGTCATACACAATGATATAATAATTGAGATAAACTCACCTGAGGCCATGGAAGCAATAACTGGATTGCATATTGTTTGTATATACATTATCAACAATTATGCTGCGATGCTGTTACCATCAAGTATTCAAAGCAAATGGATCTATAGTTCAGTACCAACAGTACCAACCGACTGGCATTTTTTTGTGTTTCAGAATTGGCCTCAAGGATTTTTGTTCGATGTGTATGGAAATTATTGCTAAAAAATCGCCATCGCATGGTATAACGATGTGGATGGATTCAAACATTAGTGAACAATGTTGCCAATCTAAGACTATCTGTTTCTATTATGCATAATGATATGTGTCTGACTGGATTAGATAACGTTCTATATTGATAAAGTTGTAATATTAAAATACAATGAGTGTTTTTTCGTGGCCTAGGAAAAACAGTAATGAGTGGCCGGAACTTTTTTCCTTGAGAAAATCATCTCCATTGGAAAGTTTTGATTGGAGATGAATGGCACAGATAAAAAGGAAGTGTTCAGCTTGTCGACCTTCCAATTGTGAACATTGTATTTGAAGTGTCGAAGATGAATATCGAACATGGCAATCATCAAATCAATATAATATTGGGGAAGTTTCCTTCAGATAAATTTTCATAAAATAAGTTCGGAACTATCCAGTCTTATGTCCTCGCTGTATAGAATGGCACCGATAAAGTCCAAGTCGTTTTCAATTTCAAATCAAAGCAATTTCTAATTTTTGGGGCGGCAAACTATGACGTACATTCTGAGTCTAGTCTGAAAATAGCTGATGGTGAAGAATATAGCTAGCGAATAGCTAACGAATAGCTAACGAATGAAAAACGATTGAAAAAAATATAAGAAGTGAAACTGGTAAACGAAAACATACATAACCACAAATGCACTTGGATCAGGAATGCAGAAGGTAGTTGGCTTCATTCTGACAGGTTATGGTTTTGTTATTTATGCATTGAAATATCTCGGATAGAGCTCGATCCCGAACGACAATATCATTGAATCAATGATCAATCACTATCGGCTACATTCAATGATACTATCCTTCCTAATTTAATGCCATCGGTCAGAGCAGAATGAAGCCGACACCCATGGCTCCTTCCTTTTGTTGTGCATGTAAGCGTTTTAAGTGGTGTGGACGGACTCGAAGTATTGGGCTCTGTTGTCAGATATAATCTGCAAGTTTCCTAGAAAATATATCCGTTTTATTATTATTATTTATTATAACCAGACAGGTCCTAGAATGAAGCTGGGCAGGAGAATCTTAAGAATGATGGGTTTGAACATTTCTATGGAACCACCAATTCAGAAAAATCTTCGCCCCACTCACATGGAATCTAACGAATTCCAACCTAACCTAGGGGAAAATCATCAATTCGTTCCATCTTTCTCGATAATCTATGGATTCTGATATAGATAAGTCGTATTATCCGAACAATTCCAGCAATTCCATTTAGCGTTCCTCCTTGAAATGTGATGTCTTTTCCACATACAAAGTAATCGGAATACATCTCTTCTTCCAATTAGTTATATGAAGGAAATGAGTGGCAACGGGCACTGAAATTCAGTAGTTCCAGTAAAAAAATTCTGTTGCTATACACACAGCTGAATATTTACCAAGGTAATTTTGCATGATTTTTGTTAGTTACGTATTTATGTCTGAAAAACACGAATTTGAAAATGAAAATGTGAACAAACCATTATTTACTGAGATATTTCACTATAAAGTTACAAATTTCACCTTCTTTCCGCCTGTCTTTTGGATCACAATCAGAACAATTTGCCCTTCTTTTTTCATCATTGGACAATTTAAATATCACGATGTACCCCAATGACACAATTTTTTATAGATGGAAGTCAACTAGAAATATGAATATCTTGCGTTCCATAATAAGTGAAAATAAGGAAAAATGTGATTCAAAATAATGGCGTGTGTAACGTCATTCAAATCAATCTGTTGACATTTAACATCTCGTATTTGGATTGATTATTAGGGGTATTCCGGAACCCTCGTATCTGACTTCGTATATTCACGAAAATGGCCTACGTATTGTTACGAAACCTCAAACACGGGAACGACCCATGGATAGCAATGTCAACTGTCAGTTCATTCCGAAGCTTCCAGTATCAAATTGAAAAATTCAAATTCATCATCTGTCCACTTTTTATGAGGACCTTGTTTCTTCTTGGAAACAGAGCTAGAACTGCATCACTGAAAATACAATTCAAATAATTCAAGTCCTTTTCCAAGATTGACACATAGTTCTTGTTCTTATTCTTACCATTTTTAAAATACCTTCATCCAAATCAAAATGCTCAATACCAGAGATTATATAGTTACAATAAACAGAGGTATATTGTGCTTTATGCTCAAGCCACACGCAGCTCAAACAATAAAAATTCGTTAATCATAATTTTGAATAATAACAATAACCCTAACCTCACCACTTGAAACCGGTCACGCGACAAAATTCTGTCAGAACAGAAATTTTGTAATCTTACAAAAGAAAATGGTAGTGTAAAGTTACGAAGGACCGCGTATCCTAATCGACCAATCAGATTAGTTTGCTGAATACGACGATACGAAAATACGATAATACGAAGCATTATACGAGGACCGGGAATACCCCTATTGATTAAATGGCCGTCATTTGGTATAAATGTTCACTAAATATGAAAAACTCGCCATGAAAATCTTATTTCGTATTGAATTTTCTATACAAAAATGTGCCATTGTGTTCAATGACAAAATAAGAGCAAGTAGTTATAAATACATTGAAAAAAGACAGGGGTGAAACTTTTTCTTGAAATATCTCGATAAATGGTGGTTTTTTCACAGTTTCATTATAAAATCAGTGTTTTTCAGAGAAAAATACGTAGGTAACGAAAAAACTCTTTTAAAAAACCCATCGCATGATAAGATGCTGCACCAATTTGTTGTTAAGATCACATCCCACAATTTAGTGTTTATGGACAACATTTATGTAAGGAGCACCGATAACAATAAGTTGGAAAATTTTATAGATACCAATGTCAAATGCCGGCCACTATAAGTGAATTATCCATCAGGAATAGCAACAATTCCTCATCACCTAAACTGATTTTGCAACTTGCACTAAACCTATTCTTTCCTTGTATACTCTGATGAGGTTTCCATAGTACTAGCTAAAATCACTGACACTCATCTGACAATACCGATATTTCATTCAAAAAATGCACCTTTGTTCATTGAAAGACGGCGATGGCTTCGCCGATAGAACCACCAGCTGGGCTAAGAAACTGAAGAGGTCATTCCAACAATGGATTCTGATTTCGCCTAGTAGTCCCTTATGCGCTAAATTCTTCAGGAGCGAAACGGCCATCAGGGCAGAGAAGGAGCGACAGTTGAAATCGTGTTGCCCTTGGGTAGTCCATCCTCTGAGCAAATTCAGGTAAAGATAATCTTATTTTACTGACCTATAGTAAACTTAATGTAGAAGTCCACACTTTTCTCTAAGTGGTGTGTAGTGGTGAAAGGGTTAGAAAATACAAGGTCCTCTCCACCAACGTTTAATAATCGGAAGACTATTTAGGGGAACATGTTTCGAACAGTCATGTGTCCATCATCAGCCTTAATCCTTACAAACCAAAGGTCGTGGGAATGAACAAACATTATTTTTCTTATGTTCTGGTTTCCACGAGAAGGGATATCCTGTGATGTTCAGAGAACATCGTGAGAACCAAGGGAAATGAGGTAGGAATTGGTGTTCATCTTAAATTTCTGGAGGTTATATGCCTCGGGGAACATCCTCCCTTGGTAATGTGTTCCAGAGCCTCGCTGTTCGGGATGAAATTGGCTCAAGTTTCGTTTAGCTGAAATCAGTTATGAAAAAACTGTTGCTATGGCAACGATCGTCACAGTAACGAGTAAACAAAAACCCGATTCCCGTGGTGAGGAAATGCGTGGTTGCCAAGTTGTATATCGGGATTAGTATCGCTGAAATCAGTTGTGGAAAAACTGTTGCCATGGAAACGATCGTCATGATAACGAGTAAACAAAAACCCGATGCCCATGGTGAGGAAATGCGTGGTTGCCAAATTGTATCGGGTTTAGTATAGCTGAAATCGGTTATGGAAAAACTGTTGCCATGGCAACGATCGTCATGGTAAGGAGTAAACAAAAACCTGATTTCCGTGGTGAGGAAATGCGTGGTTGCCAAGTTGTATAGGGTTTAGTTTGGCTGAAATCAGTTTTGGAAAAACTATTGCCATGATAGCAACGATAGTCATGGTAACGAGTGAACAAAAATCCGATTTCCGTGGTGAGGAAATGCGTGGTTGCCAAGTTGTATCGGATAATTATTGCTTCATTCATCAATTTCAAAAACACTTTTCAATGTAACCATCCTTCGCGTGCCGAGCTATTCGACAAAATCGAAAAGAAACAGAGCCATTTTGGAATATTCATTACGAGGTATCGCGCAGGATATAGGAAGAGAGACTACAGGTACTGATTGTCTAATACAGATGGAAACATCTCGTTAGACCCACCCACATTTCCATTTGCCTTCAGTTCGATTCACCCATACCTTTCTTCACGCGCACATTTTGATTCAGCAACAGTCTTCGAACATACACGAACGATGCCTTGCTACCAAATATGATCGATGATGAAAAATATATTTTTTCTAATAAGGTTCATTTAAGCCGAGTTAGGTTAGATTGTTTAGAAAAAGTAGTATCCTTCCTTATGCGCTATTTATTGTTCCGCACTATTTTGTCGCTCGCTATTTTGTCTAGCTCTGTTCAATAACAAAGCCTATTTTTTCCTGACGTTATTTCCATGTATGATCGTCAGAGAGGTAGTAATTTCGGGAATTTATCTACGACGAACAGTCTTCAAGAAATTGATAAGAAGGGTATTCATTCGAATCAAGTTATTGTTTGAATACTAGCAAGAACTTTTGTGGAACAAAATTTGAGGCTGATTTCAGCTATACTAAACCCGATACAACTTGGCAACCACGCATTTCCTCACCACTGGAATCGGATTTTTGTTTACTCGTTACCATGAAGATCGTTGCCATAGCAACAGTTTTTTCATAACTGATTTCAGCCAAACTGAACTCGATACAACTTGGCAACCACGCATTTCCTCACCACGGGAATCTGCTTTTTGTTTACTCTTTACCATGACGATCGTTGCCATAACAACAGTTTTTCCATAACTGATTTCAGCTATACTAAACCCGATACAACTTGGCAACCATGCATTTCCTCACCACGGGATTTTGTTTTCTGTTTACCTGTAACCATGACAACGGTTGCCATAGCAACAAATTTTCCATAACTGATTTCAGCTAAACGAAACTTGAACCATGAAATTTCTCGTTAATCAGAAGAATGAGAAAAAATCATATATTATAGGAATATTCGTTAAACCTACGTGTGCTACCCCTCAGCCTGAGCGAAATCCAAGGCACAACGATTTATTGGCTGCTATTATAGACTGATGTAGCATATCGATGTGCTGAAGATATGTACCACCTATTCTTATTTGAAAACACCTCGTATATCGACACACATCAATTCTACTAGATAGTAGCATAGTTAATGTATGGGTAGAATATATGCACTTAATTTTCTAATTTTACGTACGGTGACGATGCCGTAGTCACTTCCTACAAAGAAATCATTCGTTGTTGCTTTGTTGCCATGCGGTTTCGGTTCGGTAACCGTACGAATTCACGGGTATACAGGGCAATCGAGATTTCCGGTCCCGGTCCCTTGACAATGTGTTCCAGAGCCTCGCTGTTCGTTGGATGAACGAGTCTTTGGAAAGAGATGTTCTGCAGGTCTCCAAAGTGACCACGAAGGGGTGCGAAGCCTCAACTCCACGGGTTAATCTCGCGGGGACTGCCAAGGGAGGAACAATTGTTGATATTTCAGAAAAGCATCGTCCATGAAAATAACTATGAAATAGAGTCGAATTGTCCTTTTTGGACAGAATCCAACAGTTTCAGGGTATGCTTGGGCGCTGCGTTCCAAATATGGGAACAGTATTCCAGGACAGGTCGAATCTGTGCCTTATAGATCATAAGCAGCTGACTGAATGTGAAATAGCTCCTGGCCCAAAACAGAAAACCAAGTTCTTGGGATGGACTTTTAGCAATTGATCTCACGATTTTCCCAAGAAAGGTTATTGCTGATAGTAATACCAAGAATCGAAATGGATGTCTTCAAAGGTATGGTTACCCTTGATAATCATATGTTGGGCACAGTGAGATCGGATTTTCTAGAGATTATGAAAAACTTTGAATAAAATTATGGTGCAAAGCACCGGTTGAGGGTCTGGCAAAAAGGGCCCATGGGGGCCTACTTGCCTGGCTACAGCCTCCCCACAGTACCGGTTGAGGGTCAAGTTAATTGTAAAGGTGTCTTGTGCCCCTATGAGGACGTAAATGATGAAGATTTATTGGCAAAACCCATTTTCGGAAAGAATCGAAAAAACGGTGGTCAAATAATTACTCGGAAATATACCTACATCACCATGACATGACTGTCTGAAACATGTTCCCCTAAATAATCTTTCGATTATTTAACGTTGTGGAGATGTTTTTGTATTTTTTAACCCTTTTGACCTATTCGCGGGAATCAATGTTACCAGGTGGCGCTCGGTTTTCATCGTTCCATGTCAAAGCCACGTCAAAACTGGGGAAAAACAGACTCACTCACTCACTCATTAGTACCATTAGACGGTGTACTGGTATGATAAGTTTTTAAATTTCTTGACATTAATTGTCAATATTCGATCGAAAACGCTAATAATGCCTGTTGTAGATGTTCTCTTGGCAGATATTTTGCTCTATTAAGATGGAAAAAGCCAACCAGTAGTGGAAGGAGAAGCAGTTCTCCGTGCTAATCATGTGATTTTGTGTGAGGCAGAAGACTTCAACAAAAGGCACATTTTTGCACTTTATCTACAAACTTCGGCGATGAAATCTTTCCCACATGAAGTAAAATTGAAGTTGGGGTCCAGAGGAACTCCTGTAGAACAATGGATTTGTATTTGTTCATGCAAAGCAGGACAATCTGGGTATATTGTAAACATGTTGTAGCTGTTATTTTATATGTCAATTTATTTGCTCGTCATAATTAGTTTGAATTGTTTGAACTATCTCCAATTCTTCACCCGTTCACTGTTCACTAAACTAATACAAATTTAATAATGTAAAAAAATTAACCAACTCAACCATCATCACTACCAACAGTGCCAACACTTTATGTCATTGACAAGTTTGACTATAGCTACAGCGAGCTGAATGCAATGTAGTCTATGCACTTTATCCATAGACAACAGTTTGTTTTCCCCCAGTTTGAAGTTCGCATTATGTAACCTAGATGTCGCCCATTTCGTGAACCTCGCGAATAGTAGTTTATAGACCCTCTTCAAGTGTTTCTGCCATTTCAACTTCTTTTGACACAGAATTTTCAACTTGAAAACAATCGGTAGGGACTTAATCCTGAATAACGAATGGTAAATGAACTACCCTGTTGTCTGTCCAAATTTTCTTGTCTATACCTTTTCAACTTCAATTTCGGAATCGGTAAGTTATATTTCGGAAAAAGTAATCTCGATTTCAGAATTGGTTAGTTCGATTTCAGAAATGGTAAACTCAATTTCAGAATCGGTGAGATGAATTTCAGAAAAAGTCCATTCAATTTCAGAAATGCTAAGTTGTATTTCAGAATTGGTAGGTTCAATATCATGAAAAAAATCCTTATATTTGTTCGAAATGTTTCCAATTGCATGTGAGATTAACAAACCATATTTAAAATATTCAACTTTTCAAAAACAATTCAATCCACAGATGCCTTCCATCTGAATCGCTGGAAGATAGTGGCGTTGCACATGATTATAAGAATGCAAACACATTTGAGGAGTTATAATTTTCATTGAATGATCTGCACATTCTTCAAGACATCGCAGTCTGAATTATATCTATACCTTTTCAACTTCAATTTCGGAATCGGTGAGTTATATTTCGGAAAAAGTAATCTCGATTTCAGAATTAGTTAGTTCGATTTCAGAAATGGTAAACTCAATTTCAAAATCGGTGAGATGAATTTCAGAAAAAGTCCATTCAATTTCAGAAATGGTAAGTTGTATTTCAGAATTATTATTGGTAGGTTCAATTTCAGAAAATTAAATCCTTTTATATGTTTGAAATGTTTTTAAAAGCAAAAGAGAAGATTGTTTACAGTGGATGAAACGGTGTTTGAGAGCCCTATGTTGAGTCAGATTGAACATATATGGGGTGCCTCAGAAGTGAAGAGCTTCTTGCAAGAGCATCGCCAAAGGGTCATAGCTGGAGATCCGAACAGATTGCTCGACCATATAGAATTCAGACTGCGATGTCTTGAGGAATGTGCAGATCATTCAATGAAAATGATAACACCTCAAATGTGTTTGCATTCTTATAATCATGTGCAACGCCACTATCTTCCAGCGATTCAGATGGAAGGCATCTGTGGATTAAATTGTTTTTGAAAAGTTGAATATTTTAAATATGGTTTGTTAATCTCACATGCAATTGGAAACATTACGAATAAATATACGGATTTTTTTTATGATATTGAACCTACCAATTCTGAAATACAACTTACCATTTCTGAAATTGAATGGACTTTTTCTGAAATTCATCTCACCGATTCTGAAATTGAGTTTACCATTTCTGAAATCGAACTAACCAATTCTGAAATCAAGATTACTTTCTCCGAAATATAACTTACCGATTCCGAAATTGAAGTTGAAAAGGTATAGTTGAGCAGTCTGTTCGGATCTCCAGCTATGACCCTTTGGCGATGCTCTTGCAAGAAGCTCTTCACTTCTGACTTGAAGGCACCATATATGTTCAATCTGATTCAACATAGGGCTCTCAAACACCGTTCCATCTGAAATACAACTTACCATTTCTGAAATTGAATGGATTTTTTCTGAAATTCATCTCACAGATTCTGAAATTGAGTTTACCATTTCTGAAATCGAACTAACCAATTCTGAAATCGAGATTACTTTTTCCGAAATATAACTCACCGATTCCGAAATTGAAGTTGAAAAGGTATAGTCTAAAATGTATTCCCATCAATTTGACTCTCGACTCTTTTGAGTAGACCATCGCAAGAATGGGGGGAGACCATTGATTCGCTAAAACGACATTATCGTCTAAGATGCAAAGAAGCTCCATGTTACTAATAACAAAACCACAAGGTTTAATTGAAAATGACAAAAAGAGTTACGAGAATTTAATAAAAAAAATAATTTCAAACATTGAATCTCAAAAAATGATGCTAATTAGAGTCATGAAATATGACAAGGAATCATCTCCTACCCTGTATACTCACGATATTCCTTGATGATAGATACATTTCATCTAAGAAATTCATCATGAAATAGGTTTATGGGCCATGACCTTATAAATACATTGGCAAATCGATTATTAAAATTAACCAAAAACCAACAAAAAATAACAACAACTATAGTGCCCAATTATCTTCGAAACAAAAGACATAATATATTTTTCTTGGAAATTATAATAAGCAAACAAGAAAGTCACTCCTGAACCTGAAACCTAGATCTGGAGATTGGTAGAAGGTAGAGTTTTTCAGGACAATTAACGAAAGCATTATTCTAATTGAAGTTTCGACAAAAAATAGTATCTATATAATTATAGCTGATAAATTAATACGTTAGCACGTGTAAACGAGGAAAAATTTGCTACATCCTTGAATATTGGTAATTATTGAACATATATTGGGTGGCAACGACTCTGCAAACGCTTAGGTATACGTTATAGTCTGTTGATATATTCAAATGCTCCTTAAATATTAATTGATGAATTGTCAACAGCGAATCGAGATGATTCCGCACGTTTCGCTATTGCGTTCCAATTAACAGTGCTGCTCCAAAGGTGGCGTATGGAGTTACTAACAAAGCCTACACAGAACACACATGGGCTGGAGGACCTCTCCTAAGATCGATGGCTACTTGATATGTACAGTGTGTCCAGTTTTCGAGGTTTTTGCGTGATTTCTCTGTTATATTTGGACATAGAAACTTTCAGTTTGCACGGTTCTATGCCACTCTTTTGTGAATTTCAAGATGGTCTAGTCAGATTTTGCATAACTGATTCCGTTTATGAGATACAGGGCGATTTTGAAAATGTATACTTGTAGTTGTACCTAACCCATAGAGAATTTCACGCACAATCCAGTGGAACACTGAATTTTTTTTCGTGAATAGAAGTGGGTCACACTGTATACTAACTATTGTATTTCGACTTCTGGTGAGTTCATTTCCAACTTTGAAGTTGCGATATACAATTCTAAGACAAAAAACTGGTTACGTTAATATCTATTATGATGATTCAATAATGTTGAAATTTGTGGTAAATTTTGATAATGTTTTCAAGGGCATGGTACCAGGTGGTTCTAGTGCTGATCCACTTGACGAATTTGTTCGGGAAACCAATAGATGCCGCTTTTGCGAACGGTCGCAGTCCACTATACGGAGGTCACAGAGAAATTAGCCTCATTCTCGATAGCCTATGCTGGGTGGACATATGCATGAATTTTATGACAGGTTATGTCGTCACTACATTTCGGCGGATAGAAATGGAGCCTAAGCAGATAGCAAAGTATGTATAAGTAATATAGCCATGCTCCATAGTGTACGTCCTCGTATATTTTGACCCCTACCTACAGCTTCAACTATACGAAAGTTATAGGGTACACAGAAAAAAGGTAATTGTTGAATCAAGCAAAATTTCATTGAATGAAGCGAATAAAAGTGTCATACATGCACGACAAAATAAATGAGTAAATATATATCTTGTTTCGGAGCGAATTTCAAGTTTGAATTAAGTATACATGTCTTGCATGAACTCTAGATCTCATTCAACCAAGCACATCCATGAATTGTTTATGAAGAGATATTGAATTGGCTCAAACAATCATTTTGTTTGGTTCAAAATAACAAGATATTGATTCAATCAAATATTTAGTTGTTTCAATGAAATATTTGATTGTTTCGAAGGAATATTTGATTGATTCTCAATAAATTATTTGGTTGATTCAATGAAATGTCTTGTTAATTCGATGAAACATTTTGTTGATTCAATGAAATATTTGGTTGATTCAAAAGAAACTGTATTTCCATTCGACAAATTGTTTTATTGAACCAAATTCTGTATCAGTTTTCTGAAATTTCACATATATAGAATGAACTAAACTAGGAAACTAGTCGACTTCTAGCATAGATCTCCAGTCTTCACTTCTCTTCAGCTGAAGCGGAACTATTTCGGATTGCTAATCATCCTAAGTTCTATTTATCCAGCTGATATTTCGAATACGAAGAATCAGGCTTCACGTATACAATGAATTGGAGGCAGGCATAGAGAAGGCGAAATGATCGCCATCTAGAGGCGAAAATTCAACTTGAAGTAGAATGAACAAAATATTTCATTGATATTACATATTTCGTTGCTCTTTTCAAGCAAATGATCCGTCCGAAACGAGTTCATTGCTACATCGGAGTAAGAAAACTTGTATGTTGTTTCAAAGATTTATTCTCATCAAAATGATCATTATTTGGATCGACATAATTTGTTTTTGAGAAAACCATATATTTTGTACTCCTGGAATAAACAAAATCGAATCGCAAATTAGAAAAAAAGAGTCCAAATCAGTTTTTTCAAATGGCACACCCTGTATATTATCAACTTTAGTGAAAGATGTTTATCTCCTGTTCACAAATATACAGGGTGAATCATGACTAACCAGCCATAGCCTAATGGCGGATAGGGAAAGGCAAGGTGAGTTGATGAATAAGTGGAAAAATATAGTCTGCCTATTCGCAACAGAAATACAGGGCATTATTTCAATCCATGCCGAAACTTTGATGAACGATATTTAAGGAACGTCTTCATGTTATCGTCTGAAATTTACCAGCAACTTACCTCTCATGACACTCCATAAGATCACCTACCATTGAAAAAAATCCAGAGCCGGACTCCGGAAATGCATCCTCTTCATAAATGTCATGATTTTGACTTTCTGGATCGAATTTTTTGACAACTCTCATCAGAATCAGAACAAATTCAAACAAAATACTGATGAATGTTTCTTCGATTTCGTCTGGGCACATTACTATCTTCTTAAAGTATTAAAATAATTTTTTCCTCAAAATTACATTAAATGTGGCTCTTTAATAACACTCACAGGTAGAAAAGGTGTACTTTTACTGCCTAGGCAGAACAAGTTTGTTGCTATCCAACGTTCCAAGTAATTTCGAATCAAATTGGTAATCAAAATTGACAATGAGTTTGGGTGAACAGAAAATGATGGATTATTTGGACTTTGCCTGAAATTGAAACGATATGTTTCACATGGCAGAAAAGAAGATGTGAGTAATGCCTTGGCTATCCTCGACTACGCCCAGGCTGCCTAGTAAAACAAATAACTACTGTTTTTCTCCAAATTCTTCTCAATTTCACGCATAGTCCAAATAATCCATTATTTTTTGTTCACCTAAAGTCATTGTCGATTTTGATTATCAATTTGATTCAAATTACTTGGAACGTAGCATAGCAACACACTTTTTCTGCCTAGGCAGTAAAAGTACAACTTTTCTGCCTATTGAGTGTAATTAAAACAACACTTTTAATGTCATTTGGAGGAAAATAACTATTTTTGCATATTGATATAGCAGCAAAGTTGGGAATAGGTTTTTCAATGGAAGAATTCAGGACCGGACTTGATTTTTGGAAAGAACTACAAAACAATTATAATTTTCGAAAAATATTTGTCTGTATCTTAAGATTCTCCAAATGTCCTCCTCCAATTTTTTTACATTTTCTGCATCTCTTCGGGAATTCTCATGGTTTTTCGAATAATTTGCCTATTATTTCTGATGATCATATCTGAATCAGAATAACTATCCTCTCCCTCAGTTCCTCTCTGGTGTTGACTTCAGTCTGATATACCAATAGTTTGATAATCTCCATAGATAATAGTATAATATTGTGAGAAGTTGGGAAAATATACAGGGTGTTCCATTTAAAAAAGCTGAATGGGACCCTTTTTCTATTTTGCGATTCGCTTTTGATTATTTAAGGAATGCCTACGACTTCCATATTTGAAGTTTTTTCAACCTCGTATAGTTGAAGCTGTAGGAGGACAGCTTACATTGCCCCGTTTTTGAAGATTCTTTGAAGGCTGTCTGAAAAACTGTAACCTATAAAACTATTGACTATAAATGGCAGCGTCATACAGTGTTTGGCGTGATCGCGTGAACCTACTTTAGAACTATGTCACTAGATGGCGATAACATGACTAAACCCTATGTATCATCCATATCCAGAGTCAACAAATTTATTACCCAAAATTGCAAAAATTACTTAATTTCTCATTGAACCTATCAAATCTAAAGTGAATTATCAACCGAATCCCGAAACCTACCTAATTTTGGTAGACCCAATTCGATTCGCTGTGGGTATATACAGGGTGGCATTGAAATAAGTGCAAATACTTCAAACCCTAAAAAAGCTCGACGTATAATATCGAATTGCACCAATAAACAAAATATAGGGATCAAAATAGAATTTGGGGTTAGACCCGTTTTTCCACAAAATTTCTACACTTTAACGATTCTGACGTCACCTCTGTTCAAATTTTCGTGCGGATGATGGCACAATCACGCGGATTTTAATCATTTAAATGGTTTCAAAATGGCGTACTTGATTTTTTTCTCGTTTTTTGTTCAATTTTCCTGATGAAATTTCTTGTTGATTAGAAGAATTAGAAAAAAATCTGATATCATGGGAATATTTGTTAGACTGTATCATATCGATATGCTGAATATATGTACTTATTTCAAAAACACCCCATCTAGTATATAATATTTCATAATTTGGTGGAGGAGAGGTGCATTCACCATATATTATACAAGGATTCATTCATTCAATAAAAATACTTGCTGCACACTTTCACCTAATTTACAAATATAGTACAGGGTGCTCCGTATACTTTGATCCCTACCTGAAGCTTCAACTATACGAGGTGGACAAAAAATATGTGCAAATCAGTAAACACAATCGGAAAGGCCTCTAATACATTCCTCGGTTGGCTACCTGATTTGCCCTCATGTGACGTCATCAGAAAGGCATTTCAAGAATTCAAGATGGCGGTTATGCCATAACCATGTCTGTATGAATATATAATAACCCTGATGCCCCCACCGACGTATTATCATAACGTCAGAATTTTTTATATAATTTTCATGCATTGCATGTCATTCAGATGGCAAATGACCCCCAACCACACACTATACACAGGAAGCCTTCGAGATATTCCGTCTCAAAATGTGATTTCAGCGTCAAAAAATCTCTCAAAGCTGTTCGTGACAATTAAGGAAAATGCCAAATGATACATCACGATCCACTAGGTTGTCCCAGTCTTCAGAAAACCGAGAGCGGTTGATGAGGCCTGGTGGACCGAAACAGTACCGACTCCGCTTTTTCTGACAATTGGGTCAACTCTATTTAACCTACAACTACGATTTATGAAATCTAGTTCTTTTCATTCTTAACGAACTTCCTTGTAATTGTCTTGTTTCAGGAACTATATGAAGAGCCCGTATTTTGTATGCGACGTATTGTCAGGTATCCCAAGAAATTTGATTTATTATCTTCTAGAAAGGCCTCCAAAGATATTCCTTGGCGTTTTGAATATATTTTGTGTCCTGAAACTTATACGAATAGTAACTGTGGTTTCACTCATATACAGAATATCACAGGTAATAGATATATACCTATTCACTTAAGCAGACGTTTAAAGTCAAAAGACAAATCAATCTGAAATATGTCTATGTAAAAATTATGCCACTTTCAGGCAAATAATCAACATTGTTTATAATTGACACGATCAATCAATCAAACATTGGTGGAACATTCGTGTTTTGTGAGGTATTTTCCATACCTTTGCCTATAACCCTTATACTAAACTACGCAACACTAATTTCGTCGCACCACAAAATTTTGTCCCAATAGGCAATTTCAATGAGTGACAAATGCAATGACAACTGGTGACAACACCAAGTGACAAGACGAATTACCCAATGAGAATGTCCGTCTGAAGTGTATGACGCTGTGTGACGCACCTTGTATTCGTCCAATGAAATGCCATCAATATTTCGCGGGCATTCGTGCTATCGTTTGAATTTAGGTTCAATTTAATAATTTTCTTCTGGGTCAACCGCAAAAGTAAAAAAATTGAAAAAATGCTGAATTCACCCAGTATATGTTCTAAATCGTAAAAACAAATTTAAAAAAATCATGGTGAAATCCCCTATTAAAGTATGAATAACTTTTTTCTGCTTCGAAAACATGAGGTTCTTCATATAAAATTGCTACAGCATGTCACCCGAAACTGTGAAAAATTTCGGACTTTTCAAAAGGATCCCAAATGAACAAAAACTTTTTGTTATCACCTTCGGCAGCAGAGGCTTCTTATCTCTTCTATGTACAGAGTGATCTCGAAAAATGTCAGAATCCTATAACTCAACAATTACGAAAGATACAGGGGAGTCAATTCTGATCTTGAGATTTCAAAAATCGGTTGACGATGAAAAAAACCAGAAAGTTAATTTTTCTAGATCACTCTCTAAAAATGAAAGAGATAAGGAGACAATTCCAAAACTATCCCAAGATAATAAGATCATCTACATGCCTCTACTGTCAAAGTTGAAGAAAACAAGTTTTTCTTCATTTGGGATACTTTTGAAATTCCCGAAATTTTGCACAGTTTCAGTTAACACCTTGTAGAGATTTTATATGAAAAACCTTATGTTTCAAAGAATCACGATATTATAGCTGAAGGAATAGGCTAGCGAATTCAAATCGTTCAAAGCAGAAAAAAGGTATTCTTATTTCAACAGCGGCAAAATTTTGGGGTGCGACGAAATTAGTGTTGCGCAGTTTATTTCAAGAGGCATAGCCTCTTGCGTAGCTCCTATATAAAGCATTTTTCCACAAAAAATGCTATGGAAGTTTAAGCCTAATCACCTAGTAGTAGTATGTGTATCTCCTGTCTAGAGTTACAGGGTGTTTTATTTAAAAATTTATAAATTATTTGTGTCTATATAGTAATCTGAAACTCATTGACTTATCATGCATTGTAATATTATGTGGAAAGTGTAGATACTATAACCCTACTAAATTATAATAAATAAACGTTTCTGGCTTCTACCAGAGGCGTACGACAGGGGCCAGAGACTGATTCATCCTTCCCAAATTCTACGCCATTTTGAATCAATTGATTGCATTCATTAATAAAATGAAACTTCCATCCTTAGTAACAAAAAAAAAACTCAACATAAGTGACAGAGCTGTTGCCGGGTGTTTTATTATTAATAATGTTTTCCAAATTTTGAATCACCCTGTAACAGCTCCTGTCTGTTATGTTTTTTCTAACTATGAATTGAAGTTTCATTTGATTAATGAATGCAATTCATTGATGTGAAATATCGTCATAATTAATACACCATCAAAACTGGTCAACATTGATAACGTTGTGGTCCAAAATATATCCTGAATTCGAAGAATAATTCACGAATTTCCTTACCAATTTGAGATCGGTTTTCACCGATAATTAGCCTAATCTCTTGACAGTTTGTTGTGGCAATATGAAACTTCTGTATTTCCAGATAGCATTGCTACAGGGTGATAATTGAATGGGTGTAATCGTGGTCGTGACCTTACCGTTTGAACAGATAATTTTTTTTCTCACCTGTAGGTATCCTCTTGATTGATGCTTTCTCTCGAAACATTTTCGTAATTTTCAAATTCAGAGCTTTGATAATTATTGTGTTATAAATTTTCATTCAAAATGATGCATTTTTTTGATGATCAATTGAATGAAATTGGAAGTTGATTCTTTGAAAAAGAATTCCGACCTCCAATTACATTAAATTAATCGTCCAAAAAAATTCATCATTTTGAATGAATATTCATACCATTCAATTATCACCCTGTAGCAATGCTATCTGGAAATACAGAAGTTTCATATTGCCACAACAAACTGTCAAGAGATTAGGCTAATTATCGGTGGAAACTGATTTTAAATTGGTAAGGTTTGTGAGTTATTCTCCTTTGAATTCAGGCTATATTTTGGACCACGACGTTATCAATGTTGACCAGTTTATCTCGAAATGACTTCATCGTTATGAAGGAGGAGTACAATATTCACGAAGAAAGTATTGGAGTATCGAAACATTGTGATGAAGTGGCAATTCCGTCAGAGGCGTAGAATTTGAGAAGGATCAACCAGTCACTTGCCCCTGTACTAGCTAGAATGTTTATTTTACATAATTATCAGAGACGAGGAGAGAAAATCCCAAAAATTCAAAAAAGAAATATTTCTATAATTATAATGATGAAGATGGAAAGCCCTAATTCCGAGTGACAACGGAAAATGAAAAAACTCCATCGCCCTACGTGAGAATCGAACTCACAACCTCTGGGTTACATGCCCAACGCTCTGCCAATTGAGCCAACAGGACATCGGCAGGGAGGTCGAGTTCTCATCACACACCAGGCGGCAGAAATGGCAGAATCCTTCCAATGCCCGAAGTCACTCGAAATCATGCACTATACGAAGCATCGCTGGCAGGATGATACTATACAGTCTCCATATTTCCCCGTTCGTCCTCTGGCATTGTCTCTCCTTGTCATGCATAGAAGTCGGTCATAATTTTTGTCGGTTACTAAACCGAAAATATACATACAATGATATCAATAAGCTGTTTCCCTGAGACCTCAAGTTCTGCTGACCGAAACCACAAATGTGCGGCTGGCTTATGTTTGTTGACTCCGTTTATTTGTTGTTTCGTTTTTTACCAAGTGCTGCCCATCCTTTGCACTTCCTTTCACTGTACTGATGAGGGCCGAAAGCCCGAAACACGTGTATACGGTTATCTCTTTGTGAGGGCTATGTCCAATCTCTTTCCTAGTCACTTATCTTTCCGGTTGAGTAACCGACAAAAATTATGACTGACTCCTATGTATGATTGCCTTCGGACATTTCCGTATACAAGGAAAGACAATGCCAGAGGACGAACGGGGAAATATGGAGACTGTGAAGTACCATCCTACCAGCGATGCTTCGTATAGTGCATGATTTCGAGTGACTTCGGGAATTGGAAGGATTCTGCCGCCTGGTGTGTGATAAGAACTTGACCTCCCTGCCGATTGATCGACGGATGTCCAGTTGGCTCAATTGGCAGAGCGCTGGGCATATAACCCAGAGGTTGTGAGTTCGACTCTCACACGGGACGGTGGAGTTTTTTCATTTTCCATTTTCACTCGAAATTAGAGCTTTCTATCTCCATCATTTCATGTATCTTTTCGGTTGAGTAACCGACCAAAATTATGACTGACTCCTATTTCTATAATTCACCATTTCGATTTCTCGCATTTCGTGAAATCTTGAAGTTTCTTTCGAATTTTCAGTATTTCGAATTTAACAAGAGCAAAGGGTTGGTCTTTCTCTTCTGTTCATTGTGCGTCACGTCCATCATGGTCCATTGGCTGGCTTGCTTACAATTCATAGTTCCGAGGTTGATCGGAAGGTATTTCAGATACAATCCGAAAGAGGACAGCTGGATCTATCAAGATGGTCTCTACAACGAACCGATGGGGATCAAATATCTGCACTCATTTTTCAAGACGTCTGCAGAAATTTTAGGTCAGTAGATTGGGAGAATTCCGGCAACCAATCACAATTCATCATCATTTTGGAATATCATTTTGCGCCAAAGTTTGAAATTTGATAACGAGATGAGAATTATGCCATCCGATACCAATTGAATGGTTGATCTCAAAATCCTTCCTGTGCTACCACCCCCACAGAACTAATAATCTTTAAATCTTACAACTAGAGCGCGCGATCCTATGGTTTCATACCACAGGACCTCGCACCATTTACATTGAAATCTTGTCTACGGTGAAATTTTTTTGAAAATCTAGGATCGGATAGATTGAATCATGCTGAACAAGAAATGTCCTTTGGTCCAAAGTCCGTCATGCCCGTTAAAAGAAGTTATATGCTCTTGAAGCCAAAGGAGATAACCTCTACCAGAACAGCACATCCTGTGTGTAATATGGTTTTGACTAATATGATATTTTATGTCTATGCTTCCGCTTGACCCATATGAGATTACCTTTTATTCTTCTTACGTTCAGAGTGCCCCGTTTTCCTTCAAATCCCCTTTCTTCCTTCTACCCTGTTGTTGTTTAGCCTCGTCACGGAAGCATTATTCAGTACGCTTTTATTCGTCGAAACTGTCAGAGTGTCCCGTCATAAGTTCAGCTGAAATTTTGTGAAATTCTAGAATTGGATAGATCAAATCATGCTGAACAAGAAATGTCCTTTGGTCCAAGGTCCGTTATGCCCGTTAAAAGAAGTTATAAGCTCTTGAAGCCAAACGAGATAACCACTACCAGAACAGCACAGAATGGCAATCAATTAATTCATCAGGGTGAGTTTTGATGCCTCACTCAAAACCGTCATCATGTCTTGATTTTCGCTTTCAGTTGAAGTTGTTGAAAACACTGTCCCGAGAGGATGTATTGACATTATTGTCTTCACATGGAATCGTTCGTTTTCTGATCCATGAGAAATTGTTTCTAGAAGCTCTTCGAGAAGTTTATGAGAGTAGTCTTAGGAAAAGGCCAATCAATTTGGAATATAATAGTATGTTCTCTATGAGTGATTAGTGGTACCTTCAATTAGATACAATATATTTTTCAGCCCACTCTTTCAGTCTCTATTTGAAGTGGAAGACGTCTTTTGAGATGGACTCAGTGATCTGATACAGTGGATTGAGATATTTATTCAAATCATGAACTATGACAACTGAATTGGAGTGTGCAATGAGAAATTTCCTTATTTTGAATATATTCTTTCTTCAAAACTATTATCAGACATGTAGAATGCAAAAGATGAGCAGCAAATTATCGACTTATTCAATCCGAATTTCTCATTGAAATTGGTAATTTTATTGTCATCTTTTAATTTTTCGAAAATTTGTTTAATTATACTTTCATCTTACCTTCGAGATATGCCACTGGTGTGTATTCACATTTCACCACTGTCTATGGTTCACTTACAGTGTTGCAGCTGATGCATGATTTGTTTGTCCGCCATATTGCATACGCATTTTAGTCGTAAGATATATAAATATTATGAGTTCTGTGCCAACCTTCAAGTTCAGTCAAATCAGAGGCACCACTATTTCTTGCTGTCGTCATTCTGGTCATACAACGTCACGTGTTGACGAGTTGAAACAAAATACAAACAAAAGGGTGTATAATCTCCCCTTCGCGGATATCAAGACGTGCCGCGAATCAAACTAATCTAAGTTAGTGGCAAAGAGTCAATATTCCCAATATTTTGCTCTTGAGGAACGATAATATCCGATGAACCAGATTATCAAACCGATGGTCCATCGGATATAAACTTTCAACAACTGCGAAATATCTAGGGAATATTGAGGCTCTGCCTTTGCCATACTAACTCAGATAATTTGTGTGTCCAGAAAAATTACAGAAAAAAATCGCTGAAAATAAGTGGTAGCACAGGTAGGGTTTTAATATCGGCTATTCAATTGGTATGTCGTTCGATAAAATGCAATGTTCTCACATACCTTTGCCTGAGATTATGAGACGGAACTGATTCAAAACGGCGTTTTACTCAATGCGTATCAGTGAACTAGGACTGTTCAAACACGTATCAGATTTTGAAACGAACCATTAAAGTCAGACTCTTCAAGATTTCCAAAATTCTTTTGATGATTTGCAAGGTTTTTTGCATATTGATTGTAAAACATTTTGCAGGAATGCGTTTGTCAATGTACAAAATGGGACCTACCGAAGACTACATCGTTGCTATTGTCACATACGTGGTTGGGAAAATACTAATCGTTTCCATATGGAGTAAGTAAAACAATGAACTTTCACGCAGTTTTCTTGAATTTAAATTAAAAAGAACGTACGTACGTAATAGACCTCGTGATAGACAATCCAGACCAGACCTTATTTTTTTATTTAATTATTGATGGCATCTCAGGATTACTCATTCAAGTAAACTATGTTTTCAAATAAATCCTAAATATCATCACTATTCATCCCCAACCGTTTTCAAAATATACGAGGAAAAACCCCAGGATATCAAAAATGTTATTTTAATTATTCCAGGTAATCTACATTATCTGAAATCGGTAAGATAATGATAAAGGTCCGTATTGGAAAATGTGTATAGGGTGGCCCCCGAAGAGCGAAACGTATTCAAAATCAAAGCACAACACATCGAAGAAAATATGAAACAGAGAAGAAAGTTTCTGGAACTACTTTTCTACAATATTTTCATAAAATAGAGGCTCCAGCGCAGAAAAAATAAACCAGTCATTCCGGTTTTGCTTTGCCCGTGTATTTTTAAAACGGTTCGTGATATTTCCAATTTTGGAAACATCGTTTTATTGTTCACCAAATTAGGCAACTTCTGTTTAAGTTAACCATAGACCTATTATAGGTCTATGAAGTTAACGAACTTCTTATCATCTATCGTTCTCGAGCTGCCAATAATAGTGGTACGAGGTACGACATGAAAATCCGAAGTCAACACTATACAGGGTGGCATTGAAATAAGTGCAAATATTTCAAACACTGAGGAAGCTCGACGTGTACTATCGAATGGCACTAATGAAAAAAATTTTGGGATCAAAATAAAATTTGAGGTTAGACCCCTTTTTCCACCCAAAGTTCTACACTGTAGCAAATTTAACGTCACCTCTGGTCACGCACAATCACGCGGAGTTCAATCATTCATATTGTTTGATTTTTTTCTTGTATTTTGTTCAATTTTTGGGAAAAAATTTCTCGTTAATTAGAAGAATTAGAAAAAATCTGATATCATGGGAAAATTCCTTAGACTGTAACGTATTAATGTGCTGAATATGTGAACTTATTTCAAAAACACCTTGTATATAAACTGATCGAAAAAAGTTGAAGGATATTGTGTTTTTGCTATTTCGAAATGTTTCTAGAAAAAATGTGATATAGCTTTCGATATCCATGTGTTTCACGTTAAAAAAAATCCTTAACTATTTTCGATTCGATATACCATCCTCAACTTAAAATTGAAAATGAAAACGTAAGCACATTGTCAAATTGGGATCAAACACTTTCAGATTGAGAATGAGCACATTCGAATACATGAGAAACATGCACATTCTAATTGATTAATATAATCAAATCACCATTAATGACATTCAGGGAGTGTCAAGAAGTATAACCCTATATATCCGATTACACAGAAAAATATACTTTTCCTATATATATTACATTAGAATTGAAATTGATCGATCAATTGTTTGTTATGTTATCAGTTATTTTGGCTATTGCAATACTGAACGCGAGATCCATGGAGATAAAATTCGAGGAGATAGTCAACCAATTAGACGAGTATATGAAGCAAAAACAACTGCCGTTCAACCTGAGAGACAGAATATCCCAGTACTACAATTTCAAGTACCAGAAGAAGTATTTCAAGGAAGAGATGATAGGCGAATTATTATCATGTACGTCCCATTAACATTCTTCAGTCTACACGAGTAAGGAGTAAGGACCCCTTGAAATATTTGACACAACTTATTCAACTCTCCAATTCATAATTCATCAAGACGAAATAACCATCAGATAGCTTTTGATACTCAAAAAGCGCTTTCCATACTCATACACCACCTTTCAAAACACGAAATACACAAATTGATCTCCATTCTTCTACCCTAATAGCACACAACGTCCTAGGGACGTCCCGATTTGGTACAATTGCAGTCCGAATGTTCCGGACCAAAAATAAGTGTCCTTTGGACGTCTCATCCCGTACATCTCATGCAATGTCCGAGCAAGGACGTCCACGGAATGTCCCAGCAGTTACATCATTTCTATTGTCCTAGAAATAGCATCCCTCAGACGTCCCACGTGGTACATATTATAGAATGTCCATGCAAGGACGTCCTTGGTATGTCCCTGATGGGAAATGATTTAAAATGTTCCTTTAGGGACATCCATGAAATGTCACTGATAGTACATTCCTCCAAATATCTCTGCACAGACGCCCTTAATATTTCCAGGATCGTATAAAAATCGAAATGTCCCTTAGGGACATCCTTCGAATGTCCCTTAGGGATAGCCGTCGGATGTTCCAATCGGTACATGAACTGTACTTATCCAATGTCCTAGGAATAACGTCCTATGGACGTCCCAGTCGGTACTTTCAATATGTTGTCCCTGCGAGGACGTTAACTTACACCTCGACTTACACCTTGCCGACGAATGATTGCTCGCAGGCTATAAATACTCCCCATCAATGTCCTTCACGTAAGTCAATGGACATCCTTGGGAAACTTTTTCAGGATCTATTGGGGACCTTCTACGGACCATCAACTCAACTGGATGTCCTCATCAGTTATTCAAGATCTGTTCCTAGAGGGACTCAGAAAAATTCAAATTCAAGAATAATTCGTACGTACCTAGGACATTCTATGGACATCCAATTGATATCCCTCAGCGTTGCTGAAAGGTTGTCCTCGATAGTTGTCCCAGGGAAATCCCTCAAGGACGTCTCTAAGTGGTCCTCAAGTGGGACATTTGTGCGTCCCACAGACGTCCTGAATGTCCCGACAGGACGTCCTAAGGATATCCATGGGACATAATTGTGTTATTAGGGATATGTACAGTGTGACCCACTTCTAATGGAAACTCCCCTGTATCTTACGTAATCGTTGGGTAAGGATCCTGAAAATCGCTGATGGAGCGAGGTATAAACCAAAAATGCACCAAGTGGGGTCATCTTCAGGGATATACACTGCTCGCCAACAGCAATGGAATCACCCCAATTTACGGAAAATGATATCAGGAGTCAAAATAGGTCGAGAATCACTTCAGATTCGAAATCAGGACGCCAAATTTACTAACTATTCATATTTTTCCTAGAAAATTTTCAGTTCTGAAAAATTTTATTTTGTCGCACTTTTTACGGAAGCAACCCTGTATCTTACGTAATTAACTTTATCTTTGGACTTTCTCTTCCTCCTGCAAATTTCAGATCCCTACCTCAATAATTACGTGAGATACGGGGGTGCTTCCATGAGAAGTGTGACAAAATTTAATTTTTCTGAACTGAAAATTTTCTAGGAAAACTATGAGTAGTTAGTGATTTGGGCGTCCTGATTCCGAATCCGATGATTTTCAACCTATTTTGACTCCAAATATCATTTTCTATATCACTGAAGATGATCCCACTTGGTCATAGAGTGCATTTTTAGTATATCTCTCGCTCCAGCAAATTTCAGGATCCTCACCCAACAATTACGTAAAAAAGGGGAATTTCCATTAGAAGTGGGTCACACTGTATATTGATTAATTTATAATCGAGTATTCAAATAGTCTAACACCAGAAAAAAGGAGGGAAAAGGAACACAAATCTGATGATACTTGATTTTTCATGAAAATATGTTTGCAGCAACAATATTCCTTTGATCATTTCAAAACATCTGAGCTCGAGGAATTAATCATTCCAGAATTTGACAGGTTGCTGAGGGGCAATCATTGTATTTTGTCAAGATTTGTCATATATGAGTGGGATCGTTTTCCTTGGAATCCGTGTTGGAAACAGAAAGAATTCCATAATTTTGTTTGGTGAAACTGTTGTGGATGTGGCATCATCAGGGATGGCCAGGGCTATGCATATAAAAGGTAACCTAACAGATAGTTTGTATGCCCCTCAAGAAACCATGTCAAAATCACGTGTTCTAGAATGATCAATACAAAATGAGAGGCAAAATAGGGATTTACTCGAGCTTCGTGGGGACCTAATAGATTGTGAAGATTATGCATGAAGGGGGTTACCGTACGAAGGGGTAGAAAATAAAAAAAATTATTCCAGCGCGTCAGATATCGACAAGGGATGTTAAATGAACCCTCGAATAGCTCCTATTCAAAAGACTGACAAATTTTTGCAAATGAAAAAAAAATCGTGACCTTGAAATACTCGAGCGCATCAGAGTATTATTCAGACGCTCCATCTTAATATCCTTGTCGTATTGACCCATAATCTGACAATAATATTATGTAGAGGAATTTCCTTTAGCTCACGGTTGGATTTTTTTATTCACGATTTATAATTTTTTTCATTACTGAATGTAATAAACGAGGTAATAATTGAAATATATATGTAAACAAGTAGGTGAAACCTCTGGTAGGAGTCCATATTGCTCAAATTGGAGTGAAATATTTCAAAGGAAGGAAGGAATGCTCGAAGTCATCTCCACAAATTTGAATGACGTTGTTACATAATCATAAAGGACATGTTTCAGTCGTATAAAAAACCTTCCTCAGCCTAATAGAAAGATTTGGAGTTGGAAAAATTTTCAATTCTACTGTTTGTTGAATTGTTGTCGATGCCCATAGTCAAGAATTCAAATTCTTGATGAAAAAACGGGGCCCTTCATTTATTGAGAACCCGTTCCAATTCCCTACACTATACAACAACTATATCTATCTGTATTTCGGAGGTAAATGTTTGCATCTCGGCGCAAAATAGATCAGAGACGGCCCTGTGTGCGTTCTGTCAAACATAAACGTATTATTCGTATGCTTCAGCTTCTCTGAAGAAAGAAGTGAATTTACACGTCTGCAAGTCTCTGATATCGAACGTATCATTATTCGCCGATCTGACGCCTGATCAGCTGAGCCTTTTGGTGGCCAAGCTGATCCCGGAAATATTTTTGCCGAGAGACACCATCCTCCAGTCCGGAGCACCATCAGAATCCATGTATTTCCTATCCAGCGGTACGGTTGCCGTTTACACGCATTCCGGAAAAGAAGTGAGTATTCTGTTTGGCCACTATACAGGGTGTCCTTAAAAGGTCTTTACAAAAAGCTACCACATATTCTTCAGACCAAAACAATTCGATACAAGCAAACTTACCTCAGTAAAAAGTTGCTTAGTTTGGGCGCTAGACGGCTCTGAAGTTGAAATTTTCAAATCGATTTTGCTTCATAACTTTTGAACGGCTCATGAGATTTTTTTCAAATTTGGTACGTTGGCATAGACTCATCGGGCAATGAAACTCATATCATAATCATAATGAATATCATTCCATGGGCGTAGAACTTGATTTTTTCAGGAAATAAACATCTAAAACTTCTACGCCAATGAAAAAAAATCAGTTTCAGTATGACATCTAGATAGCCCAAATCATTCACTACAAAAAAGGTACTCTTGATAAAATTCGATTACTCTGATGGTTTCGACAATATTCAAGTTTTAGTGATTTCGCGCATATTTAAATAATAAAACTATTGATAGATATTGCATGAAAGTTTTCCAAAATGTTCACTATTTTCGCGTGAACAAAGATTTATACGACGCAAAAAGTTGAAATCCTAATCATAATGAATATCATTCCATGGGCGTAGAACTTGCTTTTTTCAGTAAATAAACATCTAAAACTCCTACGCCAATGGAAAAAAATTAGTTTCAATATGAAATCTAAATTATTCAACTCATTCACTACAAAAAAGGTACTCTTGACAAAAGTCGATTCCTCTTATGGTTTCGACAAAATTTTAATTTTAGTGATTTAGAGCATAATTAATAATAAAACGATTAACAGATATTTCATAAAAATTGTTCAAAATGTTCACCATTTTCACGTATACAAAGATTTATACGACGCAAAAAGTTGAAATGTACTCTTTGCATAACTTCTTCATCGCCTGTAAGATTATTCGTCGCCTGTTGGATACGTTGCCATAATTGTTCTTCAGTATTCACAGGGGTCTTGTGAACCGTAGACTTGAGATAACCCCATACAAAATAATCCATCGGTGTTAAGTCTGGAGAACGTGGTGGCCAATTCACGGGTGCATCATTACCTCTACCTATCCATCTGTCTGGGTACTGTTGGTTTAAAAAATTCCTAACATCCACCGAGAAATGTGGTGGAGCTCCATCGTGCATAAACCACATATCTACCCGATGTTGGAGTGGTAAATCTTCCAACAAATTTGGCAACGTATTTCGTAGATGTTGTAAATACATGTCTCCTGTTAATCTTTGTGGAAGTATGACAGGATCAATTATAAAATTTCCTATTATTCCAGCCCAAACGTTGATTTTGAATTCGTGTTGAAAATGGTTTATTTTAATGGAATGAGGATTTTCAATTGCATAAACGTGTTCATTATGAAAATTAGTTATTCCTCTTCTCGTGAAACAGGCTTCATCAGTGAACAAAATATTCTTTCCAAAGTTCAGATTCATTTCTCTTTGCAAATTAATGAACCTACAAAGCATCAGACGACTTTGTGAATCATGGATTAATAAATCTTGAACTGGCGTCTTGTGGTATGGGTATAATAATTGTTCTCTTAGTACTTCATGAACGGCATTCCTAGAAACTTCTAGTTCATTACTTATCCGTCTAGTACTCAATTCTGGATTTTCTTCAATACGGTCTAAAATTTCTACTTCGACTTCGGGAATCCTTACATAACGCTGTCTTCCATAATCACCAGTTCTAGGAGCAAAATGACCGGTCTCCCGAAGACGTCTCTCAACTGCAGCAAAGGTTGGGTGGCTTGGTACGCGACGATTTGGAAACCTTGCTGAATACACCCTCACACTCTCTCGACCATTTCCTTGACAATATCCGAATACCAATAACATATCGGTGTATTCTTCATTGGTGTATTGTACGGCCATGATAAATCAGAAAAGTCCGATATCAACAATCAACGTCAATAAAACTCGACAAATCAACACAGATGAAACTATGGAAACCAAGAATGTGAATATCACTGTTTTCGAGCAGACAATAATAGTCTTCAGAAAAAAAAACCAGTGCTACTTATTTTCAATAGAAATAACCTATGCAAAAAGTACATCTCAACTTTTTGCGTTGTATAAATCTTTGTATACGTGAAAATGGTGAACATTTTGAACAATTTTTATGAAATATCTGTTAATCGTTTTATTATTGATTATGCTCTTAATCACTGAAATTAAAATTTTGTCGAAACCATTCGACCATTTGTCAAGAGTACCTTTTCTTGTAGTGAATGAGTTGAACAATCTAGATTTCATATTGAAACTAACTTTTTCCATTGGCGTAGGAGTTTTAGATGTTTATTTACTGAAAAAAGCAAGTTCTACGTCCATGGAATGATATTCATTATGATTAGGATTTCAACTTTTTGCGTCGTATAAATCTTTGTTCACGCGAAAATAGTGAACATTTTGGAAAACTTTCATGCAATATCTATCAATCGTTTTATTATTTAAATATGCGCGAAATCACTAAAACTTAAATATTGTCGAAACCATCAGAGTAATCGAATTTTATCAGGAGTACCTTTTTTGTAGTGAATGATTTGGGCTATCTAGATGTCATACTGAAACTGATTTTTTTTCATTGGCGTAGAAGTTTTAGATGTTTATTTCCTGAAAAAATCAAGTTCTACGCCCATGGAATGATATTCATTATGATTATGATATGAGTTTCATTGCCCGATGAGTCTATGCCAACGTACCAAATTTGAAAAAAATCTCATGAGCCGTTCCAAAGTTATGAAGCAAAATCGATTTGAAAATTTCAACTTCAGAGCCGTCTAGCGCCCAAACTAAGCAACTTTTTACTGAGGTAAGTTTGCTTGTATCGAATTGTTTTGGTCTGAAGAATATGTGGTAGCTTTTTGTAAAGACCTTTTAAGGACACCCTGTATAGGGTGGCATCGAAACAAGTGCAAATATTTCAAACCCTGAAAAAGCCCGACGTATACTATCGAATGGCACATGTTGGCTTATGATCACAATTCAATAAACATAAACACCATCACATATTATGAGATGGACATGGCGTATGCTTGCTTGTTGTTCGACTACTCGCCGAACACTAATGAACCAGCATTTGCACATGTCTCTGATAGCTGGTTAGTGACATAAGCACATTCCACTGCGAGCAGTAGCGTATCTCAATCCTAGACCTCGTGCTAGACGCCAACAGCACCGATAAAAAAATATAGGGATCAAAATAACATTTTTAGGTTAGACCCTTTTTCCATCTAAAGTTCTACACTGTAGCAATTCTGACGTCACCTCTGTTCAAATTTCTGTGCGGAAGGAACAATCACGCGGTGTTCAGTCATTTATATTGTTTTAGAGTGGCGTACTCGATTTTTTTCATTGTTTTTTGTTCAATTTTCAGGATGAAATTTCTCATAAACTAGAAGAATCAGCAAAACATTGATATAATGAGAATATTTATTAGACTGTCTCATATCAATGTGCTGAATATATTTATGTAAGACATTGTATGACCAAGAAGCGAGCATAGAAATTGGTTGAGGTATCTGCACAATACATTCAATATAAAATTCATTTCAAATTGGTGAACAGAAATCTATTTGGATAGGAATCGCAAGTTGGAAAAACAAAAAAATATCTATTTCGTTCAGCAAATATAAATTTTTGAAGCTCGTATTTGAATTTGATTGTATTTCTGAAATTTTTTATATCTTCTGGTAATTCGTTATATTCGAACAGGTGGATCTTTTTTGACAATATCAAGATGGAATGAACCATGTCTGGTTTGGTAATCATGAATTTCATTGTTTCGTGTCAAAATGAAATTGGATTCCAATGTTTTATTCATGATATTGTATGTAATTTCCATAAGTTATATTACCATGTTCTGAATATTTAAGATAATTCTGTTGCTTTATTACGGCGACACAATTGAGTTAACAGAATTATGAGACGATTTTCAGAACAGAGTGGTATTTTGCTAGACTATTTCACGTTCGCGAAGCATAAAAAGCATTTATTATAAATGAGTGATTCATTCTGACCAGTACAGTCATAGTTATTTTATGCCAAACTGACAGACTTTGCTCCGCTATCCATGGTTCATTGAGAATATTTTGAGCAATGCAGTGTTGCCGCTTCTGTCAAAAAGTAGCAGCATTTTTGTCATTTCAAATAGAATACCCTGTATCATTGCATTTTTAGATTCTCCCTGAAGAGCTGATCTCATCAATACATCACACTTGGGGCCTATCGAAAATGATTACAGAGATATAGGGTGTTCAAAATCGAGATTATTTGTCATTTTTAGGATTTGTTTGTGTCGAAACTATTCATTATCGGTCAAAATGGCTCACATGTCCCTATCTCAACTTTTGATTTACTATTTACTGATATTTAATCGGAACAGATACAGGGTGATCAGAATTATGAATCTTGAACCACCCTGTATCTGTTCCGAATAAATATCAGTAAATAGTGAATCAAAAGTTGAGATAGGGACATGTGAGCCGTTTCGACCGATAATAAATAGTTTCGACAAAGAAAACCTGTAGTTGAAAAATCTCGATTTTGAACACCCTATATCTCTATAATCATTTAAGATAGACCCTAAGTGTAATACATCGATGAAATCAGCTCTTCAGGAAGAATCTAAAAATGCGATTTAATACAGGGTGTTTCATTTGAAATATCAATGTTGCTAATACTTTCTAGTAGAAGCGACAACACTGCATAGTCGAAAATATTTTAAATGAAGAGAGCGTATTCCTCGGCGTATTCTGTAATATGCACATTTTCATGGATTTTTCCTCGGATTCCTCCCCACTGATTCTCAATATAAAGATAGTGTAAGCTCGTCGTGTTATACCCTGTATAGTAAAACGATGTTCTTTTTCAAGGTGTGCCATTTACAAGACGGTGACTATTTCGGAGAGATCTGCTTGGTTTTGAAGAACCAACTGGCTCTAACGTCAATTGTCGCCATAGAAATCACTCAGGTGTACAGATTGAAGAAGAAAGATTTCGAAAGGGTACTGATGAAGAACAAGGTGGTCTTCAATAAGATAGTTCTAGAGGCAGAAGCTCGCCTGAAATCGATCCTCCTGATGGAAGAAACCTACAAGAGGGAGTTATTTGAGAAAACCTTTCGCAAAAGCGAGGACAAATTAAGCGTTCATTTTGATGCCGACTAGAGTGTTGATTGTTTGTTCAACTACGAAGTTTGAGATGATTTTCAATGGCTGTCAGTTTTTTTATGTATGCGTTTTGTTCATGCACTTCTATTTTATTACATTTTCAACAATTTTCCAGAACCACAATACCTTCACAACGTATTAAACCAATCAGTCAAGCAAAAATGGGGTAAAATAGCAAAACGATGTGAATTTCTTCAACAAAAGTTGTATTTTAGTACGCAATGAGGCTATACAAATTTGCAGCACCTTGTACAAAGTCGCGAAGGCAAAAACCATAGGGACAAAGCCTTGTTTGAATGTGGAAATAATGCAAGATTTTTTCAGTTGGTCGCGAACGTAAAAAGTTATTTCTTACAAAATACAGGGTGTCCGCTAAAAGGAGGTCAATCCATTAACCATATATTCCTTGAACAAGAATAATATGAGTTTCTGAATACCATTTTTCATTTTAGCACTTCATATTCGATTTACAGGGTGTCAAAGTTGGAAATTAAAAACAGTTTTTTTTTAATTACTCTCGTATTTGATGAGATATTGATCTCAAAATTGGTACATTACTTCAGCACAAAGAGATACATTGTGTGAGGAAAACAAAACCGAAAATAACTGTCAAAATATTCAAAATACTGGAGGTCAAGTACACACTTACCCCCATATTTTTTTTGTACGTGCGCTAATGACTTCCCATCTATTTTTCTTCAAGTGTTCAATCATTTTTGAGTATTTTTTGTCTCATGTAAAGTTTCGATAAAATTACTTGTTTTCAAGATAATTCGAAAAGTACTGGTTATTGTTTGATGCCTATGCGGCTAACGGAAATCTTATAATATTCACATACTCCTATTTATGTCGTCGAAATTGGAAGAGTGTAACTTTTTACGCACGAAAAGGTAAATATGGAAATACCGGGTGCTCAGAGCGAATGTATTAAAATAATTTAAAAAAAATTGTTGGAAATTCAACACGTTTCATTCAATATCCAACTTTGACACCCTGTTTATCGAATATGAAGGGATAAAATGAAAAATTGTATTTAGAAACTCATATTATTTTTGTTCAAGGAATATATGGTTAATGGATTGACCTCCTTTTAGCGAACACCCTGTATAATAATTTATGTTACTACCACAGAATTTACTGAAAAACGTAGACTTTTGTCATTTTTCAAATTGATATAGAATTTTTGCAAATTTGACTAGCGAATTTGCTCCCTTTTACGTTCTCGGGAAATATATAATCGATTCGAGTTCATACACTAATTTGTTGCATAATTTTGAGTTGGGAAAAAGAGAGACACTTTTCCATAGTAGCTACAAAAAACAACAATTATCAGTAATTTACATGTTTCACAACGCTGACATTTTTGTACGAGGAGGCGAATTTTTATTGAGCACTACACACAGTACCAAGGCACAGTAACTTTCTTGAAAGTTTGCATCATTTTCAATTTCAAAATCCTACACTGGAGTTGATATTCAGTGTATGGAAACTGTCAGATCCTCTTTGTGTTGGTTGCTTGTGGTTTTGTGAAATTGGTGCCACTATGTCGATTGTTGATATATTTATCTGTATAACATATATGTATTATATAATTAAAGATAATAATAAAAATAATATTTTTTTTTGTGACGGGAAAAAAGTTTGGCATTTCATCTCTGTTGGCAGGTTATAAAATGTCACTTTTCATAAATAATATTTTTCCCGTGGGAAAAAAGTGAGTCCTTTTTTCCCGGATATATATCACATATATATCACATTATATACTGTTGATGGCTTTTGTTGTGCTATAGTTCCGAAAAATGAGTCAATAATACCGTCTCCGAGAAAGAACTGCAAGTCCTTTTATCTTCCATTCGACTTCGCGGTTACGTATATTACTAAACAACCACTAAATTCGCAATTTTTTGAAATCAAATCACAGAATTAGACTGACAGAAGTGATATTTGATTACTCCACGCAAGTGTCCATACTGTTAAAAACTTAAAATTTCACGTCGATAATTTCCAGAGTTCAAAATAATGTAATATCTTCTCAATATTGATTCGTCCTTTCATCTGTCACAGAAAAATGTAGTGACTAACCTATATTCTTTGGTATTATACACGGGAAAAATATTAGATTTTAGCTCACGGTTTTTTTGTCTCCCTCCGCTACGAGTCTGGACCCAACACAACCTGGAGCTTAAATCTACTACTTTTTTCCCTTGTATAATAAATAACTATTTTTGTACCCCCTCAACATCGCACGCCAATGGTGAATGGAACTGTTCACTCTGCTAACTACTTCATTGTTCTGACATACAAGGGACGTTCTTTTATTCACCGGTGGCTCCACCAATACAGCAACTGCGTTCATATATTCTTTGGTGGATTCCAGTTCAACGTAATAACTACGAGTTCATTTATTACTGTACTGAGGTGTCAACCAAAATCGCAAACCATTCCACCGATGTACAGAGAGGGTGAACGAATTTCGGTGGATTTCGAAATGACAGCGACAGCATAACCTCAAACAGCTGAAAACAAAATATTGGATTTAAAAGCTGTTCGCCATTTGCCTAAGGAAAATATGGATGAACTAATCGAAATTAGAGTCCCTGTATATACCTGCAGTATTGCCACCAATAGAAATTGAAGAAATTTCGAGTGCTATAGGTACTTTTTTCCTTCCCATCATGGATTTCAAGAAATTCAGGAAACTTGAGTACCAACAGAGAATTCTTATTGATGACTCTATCCATATCATCATAATTTGATGCTATTTTTTGAATAGGTTCAACCTATATCGTCTACTTCCTAACATAATAGATATTTACGTAATCAGAAGCGAGATCCCGCAACATCACAGAGTTACACAAAATGGCGTTTCCTAACGTGTCACGTACAATATTTTTTCTAATTCTGACGAAACATTTCGCATGAACAAAAATAATGACCAGTTTTACATGAGTTCTGCCGACTCTTCACAAAATTTAGTAGGCTAGTTGACTTCGCCTGCCACTTTGAAGTATCCGTCAAACAACAATACGGTCACAAACTAGCGACGAAATAGAATCGTTTGATGTTTTTATAGGTGAAAAATGTCCGATTCAAGTTCTGATTTACCAAGTGATATTGAGGAAGCAGCACAAAATGCACTATTAACCATATTCTCATTTCGTAACTGGTGTTGAAATGAACATTACATCACCAGTTATGTAAAATTTTACTTTACGCAACTGGTTACGTAAAGTAAGACGTTTCAAAACATCCGTCAGTTTTGAAAAGTGTCAAATTATATGTCGAAATTAGAAAAACAATATTTCCTCCTCGGAACTATCAGAAGAACCGCTAGAACTTTCGGATCTAGAGACAAGGACTCTAATAACACTTTCAATACATCATCCTCCATTTTACATTAGTTATCGCCAATGGGAAAGACCACTGAGGGAAGAAATCCGTGCAAACCTCTTTCAATCGACGAATCATGATTAACATTTTATGTACAATCAATATTATGAGTCGAAGTTGAAGGGAATCGAATCTATATCGTGTTGAAATCAGCATATTCCATTCGATATTTCAAACAGCCAAATATGATGGTGCAGTCGTGACGTATTAGTGCCGAACTGCAGCTATCTCTCTCTGATACGACTTCATTCTGCAGTGTTGCAGTATAATTGGTCAGTTCAAGGACAATAGGCGTGTTGGGACTAAGACGTCGCACCAGTCACACCAATGAATTGATGAAATTCAAGGCACAGGAATTGTGTGTTTTGGAATGGACATATTCTAATTTATGTTTTTCATCTTCTTAGCATGAATGAAAAAATTCAAAATTAATTCACTGGTAGTTTTTCAGTATAGAGTTCACGATAATGTCGTTTTAAAAAATCAGTGGTCTTCCCCATTCTGAGGTTCTAATTGAAAACAATCTAAATCGTTATCAAATCACGAAAAAAAAATCAAAGAAAAAATCAGTTGTGATTGTCATGTCAAATAACTGCGTTTTTTCTCAACACTGATGACTCAAACAATTCAGAAAGTGACGTCACTTCCATTAATGATGAACATGTGGTGTAAAAAAGAAAATGCCCACAATCACCACCAAAATTTCGAAAAAATCGCATCATCAATAACTGAGATATTATGGTGTATTCATGGAAAGCGGGACACACTGTAGATTCGATCAGTGTGTACAACCTCATTCTTTATATTATTCATATTCATAATATTCGTCCTATGGTAACTAACAACGTTTCTATAGAATCCCTGTTTGACCCCTCACAATCAATCCGTCAAAAAACGAAGAAAAAAATAAGTAATGCACATTTCCTGTTCTCTGGAAGCCAGCAGCAGCAGACATCGAGCAAATTCAAATTTGGGCGATCCGCTTGGTTGCTGTCAAAAATGGCGACGGAAACTGCAAGACTTGATATTGATATCGGCGAACAACCCCCTGTGTTTGAGATACTTCAGGAGCGAAACTTCGATCAGGGGAGAGAAACGACGCCAGCTGCATTCGAAACACCCTTGGGTGATCCATCCCTTGAGTAAATTCAGGTACTCGCATTTTTAGTTCAGTTAAATTTGTAGTTAGGGAATGTTTTTTCTGTGTTCGTAATGGTTTGATAAAGGGGGTATCGAGCCAACCCAGAACTTTCTCTGACATTTTTTTTTTCGTTATCTACGTATTTTTTTCTGAAAAACACGAATTTGATAATGAAAATGTGAACAAATCAGTATTTATTGAGATATTCCACTATAAAGTTACGAATTTCACCTTTTTTTCGCCTGATGTCTTTTGGATCGCATTTAGAACAATTTGTCCCTCTTTTTTCATCATTAGACAATATATTATATATTACAATGTATTTCAATGACACATTTTTTTATACATGAAAGTCAACTAGAAATATGATTTTTTTGTGATTCATCAATATTTAGTGAAATGAAGGAAGAATGTCATTTAAAATAATGGCGTGTGTAACGTCATTCAGAAGCTATCTGTTGACATTTGACATCTCGTATTTGGATTGATTATTGCCATAAAACCATATTTCGTGTTGAATTTTCTATTTGAAAATGTATCATTGAAGTACATCATAGGAAGACAAAATTTCGAACTTTTTCTGGATATATCTCGAAAAATAGTGATTTGTTCACATTTTCATTATCGAATTCCTCTTTTTCAGAAAAAAACACATATAGGTAACAAAAAAATGTTTCGAAAAACAACTCATTGAATGATAAGTGCAAAATCACCCAGTTATTTATATCAATATTTCAAATCTTGAATTGGCAGTAACTACTGTCTTTCTAGATGGTACCACCATTACCACCAAATCCACTATATCTATGCTCGGTATCTCCATGAGCAATACTCTTTCATGATGGAATAATCATATCTGTGGGACCCGATTCTCCAAACTGTTCAATAGTTTGATGAAGAAAACTCAATTTTTTTCTTCAAAGAATTTGTTCACAAACAAATTATGATATTTTCGAATATGCTACAATATAGGTATACATAAATACCAATTTATAATAAATGATTTAGACGATTTAATAATACCTACTCCGCCAAAGATATTGAAAAAAGCTGCCAAGGTAACGCTAGATTTACTGCGAGCGTAGCCGAGGCTAGGAAACCAGGCAAGGCATTACAATTTTTTTCCAAATTATTTTCGATTTCACGCAAAGTCCAAATAATCCATCATTTTTTGTTCACCCAAAGTCATTGTCAATTTTGATTACCAATTTGATTCAAATTACTTGGAACGTTGCATAGCAACAAACTTTATCTGCCTAGGCATTAAAAGAACACCTTTTCTGCCTGTGGAGTGGTTTCACTTACTTTATTGTTACCTATTTTGGTCTTGCTAACCATAAAATTGGATTTTAAGTTACATTACTCATATTCATCAAATTTGTGCTGTTGTAGAAACAGTAGGTATATACAGGGAAGTCAAAAATGTGTACCGAGCTTTCTGGAGGTGATAGGAATGACCCAAAATGTATATTGAGGGAGATGTATCCTTCCAAAGTTGATCAAATTGAAATATTTTGTCCGCAAAAATCACCAGATTGATATTTCCTGCATAAATGTATGTTGATAAGATACCTACATTTTTCTGATACACTTTTACATTTCTGATATTGTTAAAGGGTGTTTTTAGTGGGTGGGTCATGATTTTTTTTCAATACGGAACGTGAGCACACTGTACGGACCGGGCAACTGATAAATCTAAACAAGATACGAAAAAATTTTATTGGCGAAAACTTTTTTGCAAATTTTTGAAAAATTTTTGACAAGAAAAAAAATTCAATTTTACCAAATTTCAAGATCACGAAAATCTTAGGAAGGAAGGGGGAGGAAGATTTTATAGGAAAAAAGTTTTCACACAACAAACATTATGCCACCATGAAAATGCCGGAATCTTATATACGTTTCTTTTTTTTTTTCTCTCTTTTTTCTTTCACCCCTACCCGTATACGGACAAGCTATATTTGGCATTTCGATGAATTTTTGCCATCAGAATCATCGAATACACATTCTTGCCTTAACTACATTCGAAATTACCCGTTCTCGCTCACAGACAAGCTAAATTTGGCATTCCAATACAGGGCGTTTGGGAAATTTGGGCAAAAAAAATTTTTTCTGACGCACAATCGTGACACGATTTCAACAAAATTTACCAAAAAACTCCATCACTGTTACTCTTCCCGCAAAATGAAAAAAAAACCTCTAAAATCATCTACACCCACCAATAACTTCCACACTCATGAGAAAAGTTGAACTTCTTCCACTTGTTGCACAATATTCAATTTTTACCCATGCAAATCTGCGTTTTTTTACACAGGGCATGGTACGAGGTATTTTTGGTGTTCGTCCACATGATGAACCTCTTCGGAAAACCCATAGACGCCGGTTTCGCCAGAGGTCAATACCCGTTATATTGGGGACACAGGCAAGTGTCCATCATTCTGGACGTTTTGTGTTGGATCGACATATTAATGAATTTCTCGACGGGATTCGTCAAAGGAACATCTCGAAAAATTGAAATGGACCCCAAACAAATAGCAAGGTGGGCAATAATTTGGATGATCGCAGGTTGATTCGATTGAAATCCTACTCGAATATGCTTTATTTTCATACAGTATTAAGTACTTTTTCCTACGAGTATACGGAAATAGTTCTTTTTCCACCACTAGCTATAGAACCTACCATTATGTACTCCTTTTGAAGGCGTAAAGTGTGTTTTTACCGAGGTTTTTACTACCAAGGTAGTTTTCGTCATATTATTAACCACTAGTCAATAATAACATAGCCACCTCTGTAATAATCAACCCGAATTCACTGTTCTCATATCATATTCACAGGAATGCCACTCGAATCCAATAGGTATTTATCAATAACGATGAGAATAACGACTTGTCATATGCTGTCATGGTGACTAGATTGTAATCAGAATTGAAAAGAAATGCTTTCATAGTGACGTAGGTCAACATTTCAGTTTCACAGAGCTATGATGATTGAAATATATTGCTAGTGGTGAAAAAATGTAATATACAATCATTATCGTTCTGTGAAACTGAAATATGGACATATTGTCACTATGAAAGCACTTCCCTTCAATTCTAATTAAAATAATCTCTGCCATGACTATGACAGCATATGTCAAGTCGTCATTGATTAGAGTCCCATTTCTGCGAATATCGCATTAGAGCAGTGAATTCGGGTTAATTATAACAGCGGTGGCCGAGGCGGTGGCTATGTCATTATTGACTAGTGGTTCATAAAATGACGAAAACTCCCTTGGTAGTAAAAACACACTTCACGCCTCGAAAAGAAGTGAAGTAGGTTCTACAGCTAGTGGTGGAAAAATAACTTGTCCATGATCTTTCGTTTTGGAAGTTGTACTTTTCCGTACGATTTAAATTTTCCGCACGATTTTCATTTTTCCGCACGATAAATTGTTGAAATAAATGGAAAAAACAGAGTGACAGAAGTCAAGCAACAAACGAGCCCGGTTACTAGGATGGACGACAGCTTGAGTCTACCAGTTTCTGTATTCGTTTTTTTCTTTTGGCTACACTAATTGCCAACTTCAGTATAAAGATGAAGATCAATGGAGAATATGTGATTCTTCCGTAATTTGAAAGATCAATTTATGGATATGGACCAAAGAAACCTAATAAAGACGCCTTAAAGACGCACATTATTTCATTGAAAAATATATGTCTATAAAGACGTCCCTGCTGAGACCTGGAATGTACGTCTCAGAGACCAAAACTCAAGCCTGTATTCTCTATAGAAAGGCGGAGCTCAGTATGCCCGATATTGTAATGTCTGGCTCCATCATCCCCACCAAGCCCACCATATCTATGCTCGGTATTTCCATCAGCACCACTCTTTCATGGGATAATCATGTCAGATCCATCGTAAAAGCTGCTTCACAAAAACTCGGATTCTTGTTCCGTGCAAAAAGCTACTTTACACCTCAACAGCTTCTCATGATCTACAAAGCGCAGATACGGCCTGTTCCATTCCCACATATGGGGTTCAGCACCAAAACATGCGCTGCTGCTCTTAGATTCCATCCAGAGAAGAGCCATTCGCCTGGTGGGTGACGCCACACTCACTCAATCTTTGACATCATTGGAACACCGTAGTGAGGTCGGCGACCTTTCACTTTTCTATCGTTACTCCACGGGAAATGTTCTTCGGGAATCTCTGTTATCATCCCTTCACTAGCAATACCAGTCAGACGAACTAGACAAGCCCAATCAGCTCATCCTTTCGTTGTCAACCTCGAAAGATCTCGAGCAGCACTTTATCAAAACTCCTTCATCCATCCAAGACATACTTTCCTAGTGGAATATACGTCTTACAGACGTCTAGAAGATGTACTTTTTCTGATTTGGTGATATAAATGAATTGTAATAAATCAGGTTAACTGACTATTTGAATGTGATAAGAAAACAGTTTAAATGCTATAGCAATCACAGTACTCTATAGACTAAGGCTATGAAGATGAATCGATAAAATCGTGCGGAAAATTCACATTATACCGCACTCGTGCTGAAAAGTTACTTCTCCGCAAGATTTTTGCATGGTTGAAAATGAGGATATTTAGAATATTTAGAACTAACTAAATGATCATAATATGGGAATTCTCGTACTTGGCCACCTGTTAGTCTGTACTTAAGATAAGTTACTAATGTCACCAGAGATGAGTTAACTTTTATATCTGTACCATCTTATAATATGCTAGTATTCTGGTGTTCTGACTTCTGAGTTTCTGTGTGGTGTGTCCTACTGACATGAAAATAGCCGAAGTCGTTTCATGTTCCATGCACAGAACACAGATCACAGAAGCATAGAACAAGTGACAGAGGCCGAAGTCTCGATTCTCGAAGCATAGTAGCATTTTCATTCTCCAAGTTTTGTCTCTTCATGCAAGGCATGTACTGTTCAAGTGTGAAAGATGTACCAGGAAAGGCCTTTTTCAAATTCGATGTGGAAAATATCATAAATATGGAACACAGTAGTCTTTTCTTCCATTGATTTCCATAAAAATTTGAAATGGAAATTTCTTGACCCTTGCTAGGGAATTTTAATCAAAATAAGTTGGAAACACTGGATCGATTCGACGTTACTCCGTTACCATGGTAACTTAGTCAATTTTTTGAATTAGGAGTATCAGTAATTAGACCATCAGTTAATGTTATCACAGATAAATTATTTTGAGTTCGATCATATATCATTTTGCATCTGAGAAATATCGAGAGAATTGTAATTAGATAAGGAACCATCACAAATGAAACATATAGGGAACAGGAATGCGCCTATTACGAGTTACCTATAAGATACGCCCCTGATACACAAATAACTATTGAAAATAGGTATATCACATGCTGATCCATAGTTGTCTCAGGAATCCATAAGCATTACAATATACATGGTGTTCAATTTGGAGTTACCGAAAAGTGAAAAATATGCGAAAACTCTCTTCTTTGATCTGATTTTCTAGAAGTTTTGACTTGTCTAATAAATTTGTTGTCACTGGCATTATTTTATTTCGTGTTTCACAGGAATTACGTGCTGGGACCATTCTTTATTTTAGACTTGCTATCGTCTTTTCCAAGAAACCTTCCTTATTTCATCATGAAAAAACCATTCAAACCACTGCTCGGAATGATCAACATATTTCTATCTCTCAGATGCTTCAGAATAATGACGCTGATGTCTCTCATATACCGTATAAGTCAGGTGAGTGGAAAAATATACGGGGTGTTTCTGATTTTTTTCTATAAAAAAATTCGTGTACAGGTGAAAACCTAAATGGTAACTTTCATATCGGGTGCCATCGTCCCTTAAAATATACTTCGTCGATTTTTTCAGATATCTAATAATAATAATAATAATAATGACTTTATTGAAAATTGAAAATTGACAAAATTGAAAAACATCTCTGTCGTAATCAAAAAATAGTAATAACAAATTGACTATCAATGAATTCTCTGAAAGATTATGTTCAGAATTTTATGTGTCACATTTCAAACGGCTCCCCCTCTCCACCTCTTAGTCCTGCGATTCGTACCAAGTTTGGAGCAGTAAGAATAACCAACAATATGATCAGATTTTCGAAGACAATAGTTATTTTTGTATCTAGAGCGCGAAATGCTACTTTGGTGATCGAGATCTGATTCTTTTAACGAGGCGTAGCCGAGTTGAAAAAATAGTCGAGATGACCAAAGTATTTCGCGCTCGAGTTGCAAACAACATTTTTTCTACAAACGTCAAAAAATATAGTTGTAAAGTAAAAATATGCTCAGCTTGATATAAACAATATTGTTGATCTGGCTCAAAAGGCCTCCCCCTGTCCTCCCTAGGTACGCACGATGTCCCACGAATAGGAATTTCCTTTCGTGCGCTCCAAGAGATAAAACAAAGTTATTGTTGAACATTCAGAAATAAATGATTTCGTGGATGTTTGCTCGATTGAGGACCATAAAGTTGAAGTATAAATATCTCATATATTTTATAAAACAATACGCGAAGTATAGGTACTTCGAACCTTGTCATTTTTTGACGTTTGTAGAAAAAGATCATTTTGGATAGTTCTGTGCTTCTTATTGAAATAAAAAGGGGTTTTATGAAATCTACGTATATGTATATTTCAAAAAGAAAAACTGATATATCGAAAACAACAATATGTTTCGACCAGAAAGCCATAAAATATTTAGATGTTACAAAATTCTAAATATTGATGAACAATTATAGTGGACTAAACATATAGATCACCTGAGAAAAAAACTGAATCCAATTACTGGCATTTTATACAAAATTCGAAATTTCATTCCTCTTAGATATTTGAAGAATATATGATTTTTTCTGATTTACTCAAAATTACCATATTGAATATCAATTTGTGGGAGCACAAGTATATCACATTTGAAACCATTAATGAAATTACAAAATAAAACAATTGAGTGCATTTACAATTTACATTACCTGGAACCAACTATCAATCTCTACAAACCAAAAAATCTGTTGAATTTTTCATCTTTATGTGAGATGAAAATTTGTTCTTTCATTCATTTTGTGAGAAAAAAATTCAAATATACAACTTGAACTTTACTGAAGTAAATACAATTTCTACTCATGAAACGAGACAGTTGAATTCATTAATAGCAAACCCATATAACTCCATTATTGGCAAACAATCAGTATTCTACAACGGAATCATTTTATATAATTCATTACCTTATGATTTGAAACATATTGATGATGAAACAAGATTCAAAGTCAATATAAAAAAATATATACTCATGACATTATAAACGGAGCAATTTATTCTCATTTGAATACTTGGAATGCTTTTTTTTTCAATAATTATTATGTTATATTGACATAACTCGTTAATTACTTGTTGTTTTTTCATTGTTATATATATGTATATATCATATGTTTATATATTTCTATTATAAACAAATATGTTTCTTGGGGTAATAAAGAACAACAACAACAACAACTTTTTTGCAAGGAAACTAACTTTATATTATTGTTCCTCATGCTTGCGAACCTCCATATGCAGAAAATCACATTAAAAATTTTTTCCTCCGAAAAACAGTGTATTCAAATGAACTGTAAATTTTGGAACGTTCAATGGCTCCGGTAGGTAGGAAATCGTGATTTGAAAAAAAAAAGAAATACTATTTTATAATTATCACGTTCGCAAAAATGCTTTCCAGGTTCCTGTTTTTTTGGAACCCTCCATAGGTATCATATACAAATGCAGATATGGGGGGGGGGGTTGGAACTACGAAGAACATTATTATGACTTGAGTTCTCCTGTAAAAAATTCCTAATAATATGATATCATAAAAAATTTACTCCTTTTCATTTTAATAAAAACAAACGGCATTGTCCAAAAGGATGTTCGTCTTTGAAAAACTGATCATATAGATGATTACTCATATTGGTCCAAATTTGGAACAAATCGCACGACTAATAGCTGAGATATAGAGGGGGGGGGGACGTTTGAAATGAAACACGCTGTAGAATCGTTAATTTTTGCTAAAAAAATCGTTAATAGGGATTCTGGATTTTTCAGCATCTGTGATCTAGTAGGGTTTGGTTTTTAAAAAAAAGTGGACGCCGCTTGGCTATGAAATATACCTTTTTTCCCTCTACACATCGGAACAAAATTCGGGAAAATCGCCCCATAAATAAAAAAATTATGAGGGTGGCTTGCTTTCAGATGGGTCACTCTGTATATAACAGGCGATGAGCACTATTTTTGTGATAGACAATAATCTGATCTGAAGCTTATAGCTTGGGAGGTAAAAACGATTCGTATTGGTTATTAGTTTCATTTCGGTATACAAAATCGCCAAATATAATTAAATCACAGATAAATAGAAAAATATCATCATATTGGGAATACAAATTTTTTTTATCGTCAAGACTTATTCATCAGAACGGCTCATCTGAAATTCAGGAAAGGACCCCGCACGAAAACACGGGAAATTGGCTCTTGGTCGAATTGGCTGAAATTCTACTATGTTCTTGTGGGATGGCTCATAAGAAGAATATGTGAGTTTAAAAAGTTTTGTATTTTTAGTTTCTGAGATATAAGCCAACAAAGTTCGTAAAAACGTCTTATCGGGGTAAGATTGACAAAGAAAAAAACTGTTTTTTAGTACAAATGAAAAAAAAAATAAGCTAGAAAATGTATTGATCGGAACTCATAAACATGTCTAGCTATAATCACATAAATTATAGTAAATCAGGGTGTATACGACGCACGGTCAAAACATTCATTTTTCGGAAAAAAATTCGAGCACTATTCCGAAACCAACAAGTTATATTTTGGTGGGACATTATAGTTTCAGTCTATTGTAGGCTTCGAAAATGTATTCTAATTCTTGATAACTATCTCTGTTCGAAATATGAATTTTTGGAATTTTGTGTTATACCCCTTTTTGAAAACAATTGACAGCTTGTTTTTGATCACAAAGAAAGGGATTGATTGATACTGTTGATTGAATGAAAGCTGAGGTAACTCACTAGCGAGTTCAGTTGTTCAATATTGCCTCGTTGAAGATTATTTAACATGTTTCAATTGAATATCTCGAAAACAGTTCCGTCAATTTGAATCTCATTTTTTGACTATCATATGCAAAAAGTTTTTCAATTTTGTATGTTTCGTTTCTGAGATATCTCAGAGATATTCAATTGAAACATTTAAAATAATCTTCAACAAAATCTAACACACCTATCTAAATGAAAAGCAACATTGAACAACTGAATTCGTTAGTGAGTTACTCCAGCTTTTATTTAATCAACAGTAGATCAACCTAGAGGTACTGCTGGGGCTGCCGCCGCTTCCAATCTGGATTAAGAGGGAAGCAATGGCGGCCTATCTGAGGATGCGGGACTCGGGGAGTTGGGCTAACGGAGGAGCAGTGACAGGTCACGCGGGAATTGCGACATGGGTGGAGCAGGAGATCCCTATCTCCACCCTAAGAGTGAAGAACGCCCAAAATAGGCTGAGATGGAATAGAAGGTTCACCCTCACTATTCCAAGCAGGGAACAATGGGAAGAGAACAGAGTGGAATTCCACCCGGGGAGTCTAGTATGTTATACGGACGGATCGCGCCTAACTGACAAACAGGACTCAGGCGCAGGAATTTACTTAGAAGGATTAGGCATAAGGGAGAGCTACGCTCTTGGAAAGTATACCACAGTTTTCCAGGCCGAGGTCTTTGCCATTCTGGCAGTAGCGGAGAGGCATGAGGTGAAAGAGGGACCAGAGCAGAAGATTTACATCTGCTCGGATAGTCAGGCGGCTCTCAGGGCTGTCTGCCATCCTAAACCAAGCTCAGCCTTGGTGCAGGAATGTGGCGATGCTCTTGAGAAACTAGCTGAACAAAAGGAAGTCGAACTAGTATGGGTTCCGGGGCACAGGGGGGTGCCCGGGAACGAGGTGGCCGACGAGCTGGCTAGAATCGGATCCGCGACACCGTTCTGGGGGCCGGAGCCTGCACTGGGCATAACAAGAAGCCAAACTTCGTCTGCCCTTGACAAATGGGCGGACGAGGCACTAGAAGTATATTGGAGGCGTATAGGCGGCTGCAGGCAATCGAGATACCTGGTGGCCGGTCCTAGCAAGCCAAGGACGGCTTGGTTGCTGGGCAGGGATCGCCAAGTCCTGCGCCTCCTTATAGGGATACTAACAGGGCATAACAGGTTACGCAGACACCTATCACTCATAGGTGTGGAAGATAGTCCCACTTGCCGCGAATGCGGAGAAGATGAGGAGACATCACTTCACTTCCTCGGAGAGTGTGAGGCGTATGGAAGGATGAGATTCGAAATCTTTGGAGTAGATAAATTACAACAGGAAGACTTGGTCGAATTAGAGTGGACGGACATCCTGACCTTCATCAGAAGGACGGGAAGGTTCGAAAAGGACAACTAAAAGAGGGATGTGTAGATATGTGGAGAGCAGGGGTTGGCAAAAAGGGCCCATGGGGGCCTACTTGCCTGGCTACAGCCTCCCCACAATACTACTACTACTACTACTAATCAACAGTATCAATCAATCAATTTTTTTGTGATCAAAAACAAGCTGTTAATTGATTTCCAAAAGGGGTCGTATTACACAAAATTCAAAGAATTCATATTTCGATCAGAGATAGTTATCAAGAATGGAAATAAGTTTTCGAAGCCTACAATAGACTGAAACCATAATGTCTCACCAAAATATAACTTGTTAGTTTTGGAATAGTGCTCGAATTTTTTTCCGAAAAATGAAATTTTTGACCGTGCCTCGTATACACCCTGATTTACTATAATTAATGTGATCATAACTAGACATGTATTTTAGTTCCGTTCAATACATTTTCTAGCTTATTTTGTCTTATTTATACTAAAAAATCAGTTTTTTTCTTTGTCAATCATACCCCGATACGACGTTTTTACGAACTTTGTCGGCTTATATCTCAGAAACTAATATTCAAAACTTTTCAAACTGACATATTTTTCTGATGAGCCATCCCACAACAACATAGTAAAATTTCAGCCAATTCGACCGAGACCCAATTTCCCGTGTTTTCGTGCGGGGTCCTTTGCAGCTTACGTTATACAATGTCATCGAGATTTTTTTTCAGTATTTTGAAATCAATAAGAGCAAAGGGCTCATATTTCTCTTTTGTTCGATTTTGATAACCATGATTGTCATCCACTGGTTGGCATGCTTTCAACACATAGTACCCAGACTGACGGGGAGATACTTTGTCACAATACCCTTCGAAGAAAGTTGGATATACCAGGATGGTATTTACGAACTGGATCTACGAGATAAATATCGCCATGCTTTTTTCAAGGCGTCTTCCGAGATCTTGGGTAAGTTATAACATCTAGCCTAATTCACTCCATCAGTCCAAAAGTCTAGAAATATCCAAATTATATTTGTTCACCCCTTAATTCTTGTATGAAGAAAACGCATTATTTTCCAAATAGTAACTCAAATTTAGAAAGTATCATTTGGATTACTTATAAACGTCCAATGGAGGACTTCGCTCCAAGTTGTCAACCTAAAAAGCTCTACCAATGCAGGAGCAATATTATGCTGTCAATCATTTATTCATTTCATTCTTTGCTATAAACATTACATTGCATCTCATATAAATATAAATATAATCATTTACATTTACAATGGAAGAACATGAATAATCAGACAGATTCATATCTGGTATGAGATTATTAATGCGTTATCAAATTAGATTATAGTTATTGAAAGAAAAACCAGAATAAAAAAAATAATAAAACAAAAATGAAAAGTACATTATGACATGATGAAATGAATTAGTGAATGAGAAATTATTCACTCAGGTTTGATTTTCTCTTTGCAAGAGGATATGTTTCTTGACTTTGATTTTGAATTGGGTGATATTTGTGCAACTTTTGATATCATCAGGTAATTTATTGAATTTTGAGAAAGCTCCGTGAGTGAACATTTTTTGACCAAGTGCAGAATTAGCAGCATCAAGATGAAAGACCTCCTTTAAGCTAGCAGAACCACTTTGGATTTTTCAATTTTTTCTTCGGCCATAATTTAAGGCTAATTTATTACCCTATTACCGAATTTATTGCTCTTCGATTTATGCAAAAAAACGTGGGTTCTGCTAGCTTAACGTTACAAACTATGACCCCTTTTGGCCAGTGAGATGAGACGCCACTTCTTTATGAAAAGAAAGACAGAGAAAGGTACATGGATGTACCCTTCACCGTGGCAGTAGAGGAAAAAAGATCCGAAGTGCATGGAAAAGCATATGCATGTCTTTTTTCAAAAGTTATTTCGAGAATTTGGGATTATGCCTTCTGTCACTGCTTGTCATAGTGTCCGTATTCTCATTACAGCAAAACTGTCAAATACATACAGGGACTCTACTTTTCACAAGTGAAAATATGGAAATACGTCGAAACAATAAATTTTAAAATTGTTAATGATAGAATAACACATGAATAACTAATTATTTCTTTCAGGAATACGGTTGCAATACTACAGAATGACAATCACCGTAGACTACGTTGTTGCCATAATCACGTATATACTCGGAAAAATTCTGATGGTCTCGATATGGAGTAAGTCTCTTATATAAACGAATAATGTAATGCATATTTCGGCAGAGAGTACCACAGAATCACAATACATAATATACAGGAGATTCGAACAAAAACTGAACTCATTTCCCATTGCAATTTCAATTTTTCGGGAGTTTCTCTCGGAAGAAAAAGGAAGGTGAAATTGACAAACAAATCCGTGTATATCAATTTGTTGGAACAGATCTAATATCAAATCCTCGGAATGTTGCGAAAAATATTCTTCTGTCTATAAATGTAATTTCTCTCAAATATCCAATAAGTCTCATGTGTATAGAATTCATCAAAAATCAATATAATGTTGAATTCATTCACCTTCTTATATACTTCCGAAACAGATTTGATTCATTAGGAATGTTAAGTTCATCAGAAATAATTGAACTGAAACGAAACGTAATTATTACCTATACTTCTCATGAAGAAATAAGTAAAACATTCTCAATGTAAACTGAGTAATTTGATTCGAAATGTTGCAGTTATTCTGGCCGTTGCTATTCTGAACTCGAGATCCATGGAGATAAAATTTGAGGAGATCATCAATCAGCTGTCCGAATATATGAAGCAAAAACAGCTGCCATTCAATCTGATGAGCAGGATATCGCAGTACTATAACTTCAAGTACCAGAAGAAGTATTTCAAGGAAAAAATGATCACTGATTTATTATCCGGTAATTTCAAATTATATTCATGGCATCAGGGTGAATATTTTCGCACTCCTAATATTAGGAAGGCAGAGTTTCAGAGGGTTGATATGTATGTTTCTTGGAATCAATAAATGTTAATATTATGTCTTTATATCCCAAAACAAGTATCACAAGCGCCTAGTGTTGCCATATGGCAACAGCAGGCTCCTTCAGAAAGCATTTCACAATAGTTGAAGGTCATGAAATATAAGAGAAAGAGAAAAAGAAAAATATTATTTCGGCGCTTATGGCTTCAGAATTTATGAATTATCAAATAATTCGATAATATTTCTGAAGTTCCCATAAGTATTTCAACATATGGCAACTGTGCTATGGTGTTCAGCTACTTACGAAATCGTGACGTCAGTTTTTATTCGCGGTAAATTTCTAGCCGTTTGAAAATTACCGTGACAATATTGATGATTTTAGCATCTCCAAATTGACCGAAAAAATAAAAAAAATATGGAATTCAAAGGTAATTGAATGATGATTCTATCAGAAAAAAAATCTACTAGCCCATTAAATAGTGCTGGCCCTCATTGATAAAAAATCTCGAAAAAACTGTGTCTCAAAAATAAAACATTTCCGGACCCATGTTCATAAAAACTTTTTTTCCATATTCTGCTGAGCATATATAGTCTTTCCTTATTGACTTTTTGACAACTGTGGAACATACCCTGTATATCACAGTCTGTATGTGATTTTCAGAACACCTGAGGGAAGAAGTAAACTTGCACGTATGCAAATCCCTCATCTCTAGCGTAGGGATATTCGGCGAATTAACCCCTGATCAGCTGAGCAGCGTGGTTGCCAAGTTAATCCCTGAAATCTTCCTACCGAAGGACACCATCGTCCAATCTGGATCAACATCAGATTCGATGTTCTTCTTGTCCAGCGGTACTGTAGCAGTTTACACGCATTCAGGAAAAGAGGTGAGTATACCAGGGTGTTGCAACTGTTGCGACCATAGACTTATAAAAAGGAGGGGAGACATAGCATTGCTTCAACAATTATGATCACACACTCATCTCCACAACCTGCCTATTCTTCATTACACTATTTATACCGAATTAGTTCACGGTTCAGGAAACGGTTTTGTTTCTATAAAAATAAATCGTATGAAAGTAACTCAAAGAGTTCGGAGGTATGTATGTATGCATGTGTGTGGGCGGTCCGGGACCTGACGCACTTAGGCTTTCCTTTTCGGGCCCATTGTGCACCCACATTCCTACGATCGCAAGTCAGCCATGAAGAAGGCCGATCTCGCGAGCAAGAGAGACCAACATTCTAGGCCAAATTTTTTCAACATCCTCTGGGTCCAGGATACTGCTCCCAAAATGGATATCCCTTGCTGCCACTACTGCCGGGCATTCAGTGACGATGTGAGTAGAAGTATCTTCATCCTCTAAGCACCATCTGCATTCAGGATCCTCCACAATCCCGATCGTGCTGAGATGCTTGTTCAAGTGGCAGTGCCCTGTCAGAAGGCCCACCACCAGTTTCAGCTCCTTCCTGTTCAAAGCCAAGAGGGCATTGGTCTGACTTCGTGACGGGTTTCCTATATGGAGTTTGGACTCTCTCCAGCTATCCTGAGTGATAACACTTTTATCTTGGTTCATCAACTATAATGTAGATAGCGAGGTAGATAGTCTCCAAACTGTTCGATTTCGCAATGTTTTTAACATGTTCAATGAGCCTTGAGCTATCTGAAGTAACTAATCTTGATTATGTTGAGCAAAACTTGATTCATCAAACCGATAATATCAAGTGTGATCAATCTGTTCCTCAAATCTTGTGCCTATACTTCGACGTATTTGTCCAACATATCCATACAGTTATGACAATTCGTCAATCTTTAGAGTTACCTAGTGAACTGAATATTTTTGGCAGTATAAACTATCATTCAAATTCTGTAATTAGATGAAGTTGAATTTGAAGTGATGGATTTACGTACTGTCCTAGTAGTGTTGCCAGGCCTACCGTTTTTGAGCTTAATCTACCATTACTACTCCATCCTCAACTAACAATTGGTTGTTCTTCTTAACTATTTACTGTACGAGTTGTACGACCATAAGGAATACGCAAAATTGTTACATTCTTCGAAATTAGATTCTAATTTTTTCCTCATTTCTCCTGAATATAATATGTCTTTGACTTTCGAAAAATCAATTTTAATGCGATTGAACTTGAATTTCCGGGAAAACTGATGGAATGACAGCCAATCATAAATTACTTATATTATGACATCATTATATTAGGCCATATAACTTGTGAGGTACTCGAGATCAACCACGCTACATAACTAATCTCCAATTTAAGATTCACTGGAAAATTGCTCAAGAGAGAGATCCACAATAACGAATTAACAGAAAACGACTGATTCCTTGGCTAATATCACATATCTGTTCTGTATCTAATTCTGAGAAAATATATTTTCTATTACATTTATTGCGAAATAGTTATCCAGTTCTCCTTACCCAGCTTTAATTGGAATTGGATTAATGAAAAAAAATTGAGTCACTGAAAAACAATCATATCCATGATGCAAGAAGGCGTCTCTGAAACATACAGATTCCCTAATTTTTGTGGTCGACTAAACATAATTTCAAGCTTCTGCTCTCGTAAGGAAGATCGGAAAGCATGTGAATAACAAATTTGATATATTCTATTTACCCACGTTTAATGAATCTTCTTCAAATAATAACAAGTGAGAATAATTTAATTGGTAGATACTTTTAATATATGAAATTATCAAGCACCCATTGCAATAACGTCTGTCAAGAGTTGCGTTTTATTTGTTCCATTCTGGTAGCGGTGGTGAGAACAGAATGACGTTTGCAAATAAAACGAGAAACTTCTTGACTTTGCATGAGAGAATTGACATTATTATAGATAAAAGAGGTTATATTTATATATTGGGGATCCAAATAATTCCAAAATCAATATACTAGAGTTGAGAATCTAGAAAATGATTCAACGCATATTTGGTGCAGTGATTGTGGTGACTGGACAAACTTTTCTGAGATCGAGAGTATTCATTTTATCACTTATAACACGAGAGCTTTTTTTTGTCGATGTGAAATTGACATGTATATGTCAAAAAAATTTCGTTGCCTGACAGTTCAACGAAAAAAACTGCCTCGGCAGTTAGGTTAGGTTATTCTCGCTGGAAAAGTCAGGACGAACTTTTTCCGCTGTCATAATGACAAAATCACGCGGCTTGTGGGATTTTTCATACATGAATTAAATTTTCTAGGAATGTACATATGAAACTTGTCTTCCTTGAAAGGAATGAAAGGATCATGAACTTGTGAACCTCACGATAAAAATGTATTGTAAATATCTTCTACATTAAAAAAGTTTCGGTTCTCGTCAATCTAATTCAATTCTTTGGCAACTGTCAACAGTCATTCCACGTCATTTCTTGTAGTGAGACGGAATCTGAAGTCGCAACCGGAATCAGAAAAGTTGCAACTAAAACGACGGATTAAAGTGATTCCGGTGGCGGAACCAGATAAATAAAACGCAACTAAGATCTAATCATCATGTCCAAGGCTGAAATTGGGTTGAATGAAAGATTCTCTCTTGTTTCTTCAGATGTGTCATTTACAAGATGGCGAATATTTCGGAGAAGTCTGCCTCATACTGAGAAACCAATCGGCCATTTGCACGATAGTCGCCATAGAAATAACGCAAGTGTATCGACTCAGAAAGAGAGATTTCGAAAGGACGCTGATGAAGAACAAAAGCGTCTACAACAAGATTCTTCATCTGGCAGAAATTCGCCTGAAACTAATACATCAAGCCGAAGAAACTTACAAGCGAGAGTTATTTGAAAAATCTTTTCAGATAGATCCGGCCACGAAGTCGACGACTCCGATAGAAGAATTATGATTTGAGCAAATTTAGTTTTCATGTGATATTTTTCGTTTTCTTTTATAGGAAGTTGTTTCGTACATATTATATTTTTGATGTGCGATTATGTTGATGTCTTCGATGTGATAAATATTTCGAATAAAGTAAACGTTAATTTAGAAAAAAAAACATTCTATTAAAGCATCCCTTAAAGCCAATTCTCAAACCTATATCACTTCGAGTTTCTCTCTTTGTGACCATTGCAGTCCACTTTGAGTATTTGGCGTTTTCCTAGTTCTATACTGTTACTTGAAATTTCTTGTGTTTTCTATCAATTCTGAGCACAATTGACTTCTTGTTTTTCATATAATTAACTTGGAGCTCGGAAAAGCATCAGGTAACTTGTGTAAACTTCGTTTCTACATGGTGAATTAGGTGAAACAAATATCAATAATTCACTTACCGGAACTCATGAATGTGACTAGAGTACTATGACAAAACATTCATATGATAACGATATCTACTTGTTAATCGAACATGAAATATTGCTTCATGCTTGTTTAGGGTTGTTAACATCATTCATGTCAAGAAAATTGAATATTTATTATGATGCCCCATCAACTTGTGTTATAACTTATCTTGTATTGCTGTGTTTTTCACACAATCATCATTACACACATTACACAATTATATTACTGTGCATTGTTGATTATTGAAAAAAAATAATAAGAACTACAGATTAGGCATATCTTACTAGTATTGGTACTTGACATGAATTTTGAAACACTGATGGTAATATAATAATGTAAGTGTATTTCACACTCGCCAAACTTGGTATATAGAGGACTGTGGAGCTCATAATATATTATGTGACTCATATTTCAAATCACACGAATAGATCGATCAGTATTGAAACACTGAATTTTTTGATTCACAAGCATTATCAACATGTTAAATGGAATATTCTTCATTTTCTTACGAATTGACCTGAACATTGACTGAATTGAATTTCTTCTCGATATTTGTAATTGGTAGTCTGAGGTGTATTTGTTGAACTGAATAAGTAGTGAAGGAATCTGACTACACAAAAATGGGACTGGTTTCCACTTGATTTTTTTTATCTCTTGGAGCGTACAAAAGGAAATTCCTATAATGTTCGTGTATCATCCATCGCGCGTATCTAGGGAGGACTAGGAGAGGGGGTAGGTGTTGGAATTTTTTTTAGTTCTTCAAAGACGAACGGTGCATTTTCGTATACAGCGTGTCTCACTTTAAACGGCCCCCTCTATATCTCAGTTATTAGTCATGCGATTCCAACCAACTTTGGTGTGGTATGAATAACCATCAATATGATCAGTTTTACCGAGATGCACATTATTTTAGACAGTGCCGTGCATTTTTATTGGAATGAATAGGGGTCAGCTTTTTATTAAATCATATTAGGCATTTTTTCACAGGAAAACCGACCTCATAAGGATTTTCATAAGATGCCTATGAAGGGTTTCAGAAAAACAGGCACATCTAAACAGCATTTTTGCGAACGGTATAATTATTCACTCGGAAACGGAGAGTTCAACAGTTCAACATAAAAAAGTATAACTCGTTTTTCCATCCAAATCATGATTTTCCACCTACCGGAGCCATTGAACGTTCCAAAATTCGTAGTTGATTTGAAGTCACTATTTATTCGAGACTGAAAATGAAAAAAATGAAGCCAATCCTGTTAATTCGGAATTAGGTGATTTTTTGCATATGGAGGTTCGAAAGCATGAGGAACAATAATATGAGGTTAGATTTTCTGTAAAAAAAGGGCTAATATAATTTTATGAAAAATCGACCCATATTTAGTTCAATAAAAACGCACGGCACTGCCCAAAATAATGTGCATCTCGGTAAAACTGATCATATTGTTACGTTATTCGGGTGCAGAAGCGAACACGACACTATTTATTTTCGAACTGATTTATTTAAACTAAAGAAACACTAATTCGAACTTATAACTACTATTTATGTAAAACGATTTATATCACGCGGTATATAACTGTCTCTCTGACACTCGCTGCTCCACTAACGGACTGCAGTTGTTCGGTCGTTTATATATGAGATCACTTGGCAGGCTTTGGTTCGAGAACGTTCTCGAATGATCTTCAGTCTCCTTCTTTTTGTTCTACATAGAAGATTCTTAGAACAAAACATCTCTCTCTAATTGTTCCATCGATTGTTTCCAGAACATTCTAGATTCTTCTGTCACGTTATTTGTCACTGCGGTATATATTGAGTGTTCGGAAATATGCTGGTGCATGTAGAAATGATTGGGAGGTTGGAGAACGATCTGGGATGCGTGTTACAGGATGATTGTTGTACTCCTGCTTTCCTGCTGATGATTCTAGTGCCCCGTTAAGGGGAATATCATTACAATATTGATGTAAATTCATACCACACCAAAGTTGGTTGGAATCGCATGACTAATAACTGAGATATAGATGGGGTGGCGTTTAAAGTGAGACACGCTGTATACGAAAATGCACCGTTGAGGGCGATGAAGAACAGGTGTCAATATACAGGGAGTGAGGAATTTCACATTCTATTTAATAAAAAAAAAGTATTTTTTTGAGTACGGCACTATCAATTATTTCGTGGTTTTCCAACAGCAGTGTTTTTATAATTTTTCTTGGTTTTCGAGATATCTAACAAATTCATTTTGATGCTCTTCTATACTTGTTTATTGCTCATGATTAAGACGATTATCATGATTTGCTAGTATTCACCTCATTTGTATTGAGTTATTGACCACAATAATCATGTTTATGAACTACTTTAGCATTATGATAATCTAGTTTGCTATCTTCATATTTATTCATTTTGTCGAATAAAATCATGCAACCTGAAACCCGAAACCCTGAACTGAAATTTGAGAATGACCAGCTCCAAAATCATACGATGAAGATCTTGCTAATTGGTGATCAGGATTATTGTGGTCAGTAAACTCAACAAAAATGAGGTAGAAATGAGCAGCACTACCATTTCTAACATCATAAACGAGTAGTATGAAGAAGCACCAAAATGAATTTTGTAATTCATCTCGAAAACCAAGGAGAAATATGGAAAAACTGCAGTTAGATAGAAGTGACATAGTTTTCTTTGTCATTTTTTGAAATTTCAAAATGTGATCAGTCGTGATCAGTGCCGTACTCCTATGAAAAGTTACATTCATTTTTATCAAAGATAATGCGAAATACCTAACTCCCTGTATATTCATTGAATTGGTACGACATGTTTTCAATGCAGATCATAATATTGCCGATATTGGACCAATATGGAACCAATACACAGTGAAAAATTTCCGGGTGTAATTTCAACCGAGTGGATTTCAGAAATAACTCCGATTGAATCAACACTTGATTAGCAATTTCATACCAATTTTATTAGAAATTTGATAATACCGTGTACAGTGGTGTCAATTCACACAGTCATAGTGAAAAATTACACGGATGTGGTTATTTAGAGGGGTTCTGAAATATCCATTCGAGAGAAACACCAACAGGATGAAAAGTCATTACTTTCGATAGTGGAATCATCCAAGTTAACGCAAAAAATACACTCATTATATAAAATCATCACCTAGTTACACCCTCACCAATCACAAACAAATCAGAACCGTGTATGAATTATGAAATTTGGGCATCATCGTCATGCATTCTCCCATGTGAATAAATAATGTTTGCTGATTATGAAATTACCCACTGAAAAACCTGAACTCATTGAAGAATGGATGGACATTGTGTAGGTATATCATTATCCAAGAATACTGGTATCCAGATAGATAGGTGACAATAAGAACGGATGATTTCGTGAAAATAATGCATTAAATAAATTTTAAGCTGATTCATAAATTATATATGATGATTTTTATATTGCGAAACGATATAGAGTACTTATATCGAACCAGATAGAACATAAAATTGAATATCAAAGTAGAAATTTGGTGCACAGAAAAATATTTAGTGAATTTCTTGATAGATGGTGACACTAGCGCTCCTTCGACGCACGTTTCTTGACAGCCTACAAATAGTATCAGCTCAGAGATGTTTTGTAAGTCACAATTCTCACTACGTTGGATCGTTTCATACACTGAATACTAATGTTAGTATATCAGAGTCGTGTTATTCAACACTCAGATGCATACAAGAAAACACTGCTTCTCAGCGTGATAACACTCGATAAGTGTGTTTTCACAACAGAAGAATATCCGACAAATATTCACATATTATCATAATATCATCAGTAAAAGCAAAAACGCAACAGATATAGTGTCAAAATAATCACCAAATGATTGTACAGTCACCACTCTGGTGTTGAATAACACGAATCGATCAAATTAGCTCTAGATACTCTAGTGTAGTTCTTGACTGCATGTTAGAACGAATGACACCCTATGATGGTGTTAAAAATATCAGAGTTAATTCACACTAAAATGATCAGGACCTCAGGGGACACCCAAGGGTGTTAGCTGGTGTGAACTGGTGTAATTTTTTTTTCATTGTGTATCCAGCCAAGATTCATGCTACTGGGGGACTGACTGTAGTAAATTGCCCTACGAGTTTCAGAGCAGTACCTTCCAAGGATTTCGAAATATTGAAGGAAATCTGGAGATGAAATTGTTCTTCATTGCCCTATCACGACTCAACGGTGCATTTTTGTATAGAGGTGATTTCAATCAGCCTATTTTGATCTAAATCACCCTGTAGAATTTATGGTACGTTGTTCTGGGACACCTTGTATAAACAACCTTATGAATATGAAATTTTTTGTCTTTCAAAGGAACCAATTTGGGCGCAGAAATTCGAAAAATGGGTTGTGTATTTATATTCCACTAGCACATGAACGCTGGAAAGCAGTGGAAAGGAGCAAAGCGTAAGCATGCGCAATGCGAATGGCGCGCACCAATCGTAGTATATCGGAAATCGATTTACTAGTCTGGCCCGTGGCTGGGAAGTGGGGAAGGCCACGTCGTTCTATTTACTATCGGCGGCGCGTGTTTGCTCTCCAACTGGAAAT